GCCCCAGGCCGGGCGTTTAAATGAGCTCAGGATTTTGGGGTACAGACCGTGTAGGTGGTGGGCGTCCTGCTCCCTGGTGCAGCTGGGTCTCCCCGAGGTCGTTTCTCCTCCGGGGGCGTCTGCCTGACTGTTACCCGGGAAGACAGCGGAGGCTTTTTCTCTGTGATAAGTGGGTGCATTTCAGACGTTTCCCTACTAACTGCTCACAGCAAGAGGCCCAGCGTGGCGGCTCCGGGCCCAGGTCGCTCAGGCATCTTCTTACTGACGCAGGAGAGGCCGAGGTGGGAGTCTCCCGGGCTCCAGGTCATTCCGCGCGGGGCCAGAGGCGCTGGGCGGCTGGGGGAGCTCAGGGAGGCAGGCCCCCTGGGAAGGCCCTGCAGTGCTTCAGGACCTGGGTTGCAGCCCCCGACCACTTAGGTTTGGAGCCCAGATCTGCCCCCTGCAGCCGTGCACCCAGGCAACTGGCTTCCCTCAGCTCCACAGCGGGACCCTGGCCGAGCCGCCTCCCTCCAGGGCCTGGGCAGAGCTCTGAGGGACCGTGGGGGACCCCCTTCTCCCGCAGTGGGCAGGTGGGAAGGTGAGACCCACATTCCTGTGTACGGCGACAGACGCGAGTGGTCGGCCCTCTGCCCAGCCGACGACGCCTGGAGCAGCGGGCGGTGTCGTCACCACCGGGCCCCTCTCCTCTCACCCAACACCCACCTCTGCCCTCTGCCCCCTGCCCACGGCCCTGCCCCTGCCCACGGCCCTGCCTCTGCCCACTGCCCACGGCCCTGCCCCTGCCCACCTCCTGCCTCTGCCCTGCCTCTGCCCACGGCCCTGCCTCTGCCCACGGCCCTGCCCCTGCCCACGGCCCTGCCCCTGCCCGCGGCCCTACCCACGGCCCTGCCCCTGCCCACGGCCCTGCCCCTGCCCACAGCCCTGCCCCTGCCCACGGCCCTACCCACGGCCCTGCCCCTGCCCACGGCCCTGCCCCTGCCCGCGGCCCTACCCACGGCCCTGCCCCTGCCCACGGCCCTGCCCCTGCCCACAGCCCTGCCCCTGCCCACGGCCCTACCCACGGCCCTGCCCCTGCCCACGGCCCTGCCCCTGCCCACAGCCCTGCCCCTGCCCACGGCCCTACCCACGGCCCTGCCCCTGCCCACGGCCCTGCCCCTGCCCGCGGCCCGGGCCTCCTGTGCTGCTCACGAAGTCACTCGGGAGCCTGGGTCCAAGGCCCAGCGAGTCTGCCTTCACTGGCTGGGTGTGGCCTGGGCACCCCGCTGGGTCACTGCCCCGGTTCTAAATGCACGTGGTGGAGAACCACCCTGAGGCTGGCGGGACCTGAGGACGGGGCCAGGCTGTGCCCTCCTGGTGGACCTGGCGCCCAGCTGCCCATCCCTGTCCCAGGCCCAGCCCTCAGGCCCCGTCCCTGCCAGGACGCACAGGGGAGGGGGGGAGGGCGTCACAGGGAAGACGACTGCCGGCCCTGCACGCCCCCCCCCGGCGGGTCAGGTGGGGGCACTGGGAGGTCTGGGGGGCACGGGGGGCACTGAGAAGGGTGCCGGCCCCCGAGAGCTCAGCCCCTGAGGCGGGCACCTGCTCTCCACGGGAGCGGGCCGGGCAGCGGGCTCAGGCCAGCGCGGGACCTGTCTGCCTGGCCAGGAGTCGCCGTCCACTGCTGAAGGAAGTCACAGGCCCACAGGAACAAAACGAGTTTTTATTAAAAACTGTGCCCCTGGGGCCCTCGGTCTTCCTCCAGCTGGGTCTGTTTGTGTCCGAGTCCAGAGCCGGTGCTGGGAAGTTCAGGCTGAGCTGGGCTCTGTCGCCAGCGGGGGTGGGGCGGGAGGACTGGGGGAGCCCGGAGGCCGGCTGTGCGGGGCGCTCGCCGCTACCTCCTGAGGGCCTGCGGCCGGGCCCGGACACCCAGGCCGCTCGCGGGCAGGACCGCAGGGCGTCGGGAGCTTGGGACACCCAGGCTGCTCGCGGGCAGGACCGCAGGGCGTCGGGAGCTTGGGACACCCAGGCTGCTCGCGGGCAGGACCGCAGGGCATCGGGAGCTTGGGAGCACAGCCCCCCAGGGGGAGCAGGCAGTGGGGGCCCTCCACCAGCGTCCCCTCCCTCGCTGGCGGGGGTCAGGGAGGGTCCCTGTGTGGCTTCCATCAGGTGGTTCTGTGGTGACATCGAGCCCACTGCTCCCTGAACGCCTGGCGTGAGGCTGAGGGCGGGGCCGGGATGCTCAGTGAGGCCCGTGGATTCAGAGAGGACAGGAGGCCAAGTGGGGGCGCTGAACGCCCACGGGGCAGAGATGGCCCTGAGCCCCACCTGGGTGGAGACCTGTGCCCAGGTGCCCGTGGACAGGGAAGGGGGCAGAGCCGTCCCTGCAGCTCCGGGCGGTGCGTGGCACCTGCTGCCTGGGCTGGGGCTCAGCTGGCAGCAACACTGTCCGAGACCCATGTGAGGGTGTCGGCGGGGACCCGGCTCCTGCCCCTCTCGAGAGGCTCCTCTCATCTGCCTCCTGTGATCGGAGCCGAGGCTGAGATCCAGCTCCCTCCCCCTGCTGTGCAGCAGCTTCTCCCCTGAGGACAGGACCCAGGTGTGGGCGCTTCCGGTGCCGCACTGCTGGGGCAGCGACTCGGGGACGGTCTGTCCCTTTGGTGCAGGAGGGCCCGTGGCCGAGCCCCGCGAGACAGGGCACAGGTGCTGCGGGCTGTGGGCGCCACAGGCCAGCACAGCCCCACACGGAGGCTCCCACAGAAACGTCTCCAGAGCAGAGAACATGCGGGAACTACCACGAGCCTGCAGAAAGGGTCACGTTGTCATGAAACCCAAAAGCAAGACCCACACCTCAGGCCCCGTCCTGTCCTAAACGTTCCCATAGCGAGGCGGAGTCTGTGCGGCTTAGAGCGAAGCGCATGGAAGGCGACGTCTGTCCATCCTCTCGGACCCTGCTGTCCTCACAGACGCCCAGGCCCACGGTGCTGCCCAGGCCCCAGGAGCGTCCTGTCCTGGCAGCGGTGCAGAGATTCTCACCAGAAAGTGGCTTTGGGCAGAGCCTCCAGGCGTTCGGTCTGGAATATTCCCGTCCACTCAGAAACAGAGGAAGCAGGAGGGGGCGGGGGGAGAAGGGAGCCTTTCACACGTGCTTCACCTGGGGAACCACAGGGCCTTTCCCCGCCTGGGACTCTCCTCGCCCGGCCACGCAGCAGCTCTGAGCGCGGAGGGTCAGACAGACGGGAGGCAGGTGCTCTCCCAGCCCCACCCCACGACACGGGCTCCCTGCGCGGGGTCCACAGAGTGGTGTGGGTCTCTCGCGTGCCACACTCCGACTGGTGAGGGGGCGGGGGGCCCTCCCGTGACATCTGCCTTGGGGACGCCACCTGCGCCTCGCCCCTCGGCCCTGTGCTGACCACGTAAGGAGTGGGCTGGACGCACAGCTATGGTTTGATGCTCAGGTTTCCAAAGCAGTTTATGCTATTTTCACGGAGCTAAAAATCTAAAACAAAACAATTAACAAAGGAAAAAAATATTTCCAGAAAACCAGTTAAGGCTAAAGGGCTGGCCAGGGATCAGGGGAAGGGACAGCAGCCGCACATAGGGTGAGGAAGTGTGGGCACCAGGAGGAAAGACCATGCTCATGTGCCAGCAGGGGACTGGTGTGCCCAGAGGGCCTGGTGTGCCCGGAGGGGCAGGTGTGCATGGTTGGGGGGTGGGTGTGCATGGTCAGGGGGCTGGTGTGTATGGTCTGGGGGGCTGGTGTGCATGGTCTGGGGCGCTGGTGTGCATGGTCGGGGCGCTGGTGTACATGTTTTGGGGGGCTGGTGTACATGTTTTGGGGGGCTGGTGTGCAGGTCTGGGGGGCTGGTGTGCATGGTCTGGAGGGCTGGTGTGCATGGTCTGGGGGGGCTGGTGTGCATGGGGAGGCTGGTGTGCATGGAGGGCTGGTGTGCATGGGGGAGCTGGTGTGGGCAGGGGGGCTGGTGTGGGCAGGGGGCTGGTGTGCGCAGAGGGGCTGGTGTGCATGGGGGGCTGGTGTGCACGGGGGAGGCTGGTGTGCACGGGGGAGGCTGGTGTGCACGGGGGGGCTGGTGTGCACGGAGGGGCTGGAGTGCACGGGGCAGTCCAGGACCTTTTTCGCAGAGCTGTCTGTTTTATCTGGGGACACTGTTGCTGTTCATTTTTCCCATGTACAAAGCTAAACAATTAATAAAAAGGCACCTGGAGACAGCAGAGACTCATTCATTTCATGTGACATATTTTAAAAAAAGATAAAAAGATTTAAAAAATACTCTGGCTAGCAACGCACACCTCGTACACAACAAGCAACCCCGAGACGCTGCCCGCCCTGGCCCTGTGGGTCAGCCGGTTGGCTGTGCTGTGTTCACGGAGGAGCTGGCTCGGGAGGGCCGGCGGGGGCTTCCAGCGTGGTGGTGTCCGCTCCTGCACTGTCCCGTGTGAAGAAAGGAAGGAGGAACAGATCCCCACGTTCACCACCGGGATGACGGCTGCCATCAGAGCAGCACCTGGGCCTCCTGCCCGGTGCCAGGGCCGGTCCAGCTGGTCCCTCCACCAGAAGCCCAGTGCTGAGCCGGGCCAGGCGTTGGCTCCGCAGCCCCTCAGGGAGCTGCCGCAGGGGTCAGGTGCCCGCTGGGTGTCCGGACGAGGGAGGAGGTAGAGAAGAGGCCAGTGGCCTGCAGGCTGGTGTGGGTCCCCTCCTCCCCCTCCCGCTCCCGGTGGGCACCAGGATGGAGCGGCCAGGCCGGGCCTGCATGGTCTGGGGGCCACGCCACTGCACCAGGAAATACACCTTCTCGTAGAAAGAAAAGAAAAACAAAGAAACCCGCTCCCTGCAGCGCTGTTACAAAAAGCCACTGGAGAACCTTCCTAATTGAAACAGTGTAGCAGTAGGGAGACCGGCGCCTCTCCGCATCCTTTAAACAGAAACTCGAGCTCAGGGACTGGAGTTGATTGTCTTAACAAAACGGACTCCGAAGGCCTGCGGCCGCCCTGGCCGAGGCTGGTCACACGAAGGAGGAGAAGCCGGTGAGCGGAGTCCGGGTGCCGGGGCCGGCGGGTGTGAACACGGCGCTCTGCGTGGTGACCACCGTGTGCAGGTGTGGGCCCTCGCCCCCGGCCACCGCCTCGTACCGGTGCGGGGCCGCCCGCCCGCCCGGCGCCCGCCGCTTCCAGGAGTTGTAGTAGGTGGGGTCGCTCAGGTAGTGGTTGACGAAGGAGTGCTGGGGGGGAGCGTCCTCCGACCCAGAGTCTGTGTCCTGGGGGGGGGCCAGGTGTGAGCAGGGGTGCCGGCTTTGGGGTGCCAGGGAGGGGAGGGCATGGACGACAGTGGTCACAGGAGGGTGGGGTCAGCGGGGGACATCGGACAAGGACTGACGGGCACCAAGGGGCGGTGGGTCTGAGCTCAGCGCTTCCTGTCCCTTCCAGCTGTAAACAGAGCCTTTGTCCTTGTGACCCCACGGAGACAAGGGGCCAGGAGCCTTGAGAAGCAGAGGGCCGGGGACAGACGCAGGGTGGGGGTGGGGGTGGGGGGGCACTGACCTCAGACTCCGACGCGTCCACCGACTTCTCGGTGAGGTTCACGCTCTCGGTCAGCGCCGCCCCGTTGTACTTGGTGCTCAGGTCCTCGTCCGAGTAGTGCAGCCCGCCGGGGCTGGGCCGCGGTGGGGACCTGGACCAGGACAGGGCCTGTGAGGACGCTCTGGGCACACGACGCCCGCCCGGGGCCTCCCGCCAGCCCTCTGGCCTTTGCCAGGTGCAATGAGGGGAAATTCGCGGCCTCTGACGCTGTTTTGCAACCGATGCAAAAAGTGAGCAGTGTGCCCAGCTACGGGGCAGACTTCTCCGGCCTGGTGCTCAGCGCTGGCGGAGGGCCAGCCGGCTGTCGGGTCGCCCTGTGGTCCCTCCCTGCGCCCTGAGATCTGTCCTCTCTTCACGTCTCTGGGACCATCCGCCTGCCCTGACCGCCCTCCTGGACCGGACGCTGGTCCCTGCTGGGGCTCGGTGGGACCAGGGGGCGCGGGGACAGGTCCTGGGGGTGGCGTGGCCATGTCCCCACCTGGTTCCGTTCTTCTTCGAGAAGGTGTTCTTGACATTGAGGTGGCGGCTGTTGAGCTCCAGGGCCGCGAAGCCGCCGTTGTCCAGGGTCACGGACTCCTCCATGGTGGACACGCTCTTTCCTAAGCGGGTGAGACAGTAGCAGGGGTCTCAGCCCGGAGCCCGCAGCGCCGGCGGCGGGGAGGAACCTCTGCGTCCGGACAGCGTGGAGCCCAACGGCACTGCGAGCCTCTCAGGGTCACTCTGCCTGCCGCCGGAATGCACGCGCGGATCAGCTGAGCCAGAGCGCAGCACACGTTCAAGCCGGGCGACATGCGTGCATAGCCGGGACGACACATGTGCGCGAGCCGGATGACACGTGTGCACGAGGGACAACCCCTCATGCGGCAGGGCTCCCCCGAGTGACGAGCGTCCCGAGCTGCCCGTGGGAACGGAGCCCCGCCCGCCAGTGCACAGCGGCCTCTCGAGAAGGGAACTGATCAGCGTGCACCAAGCCGACTGAACACAGCGCAGGCCGGAGGGGGAGCAGCAGTCAGAGACCTGAGGACACAGCATCCCGCCCGGAGGCAGGGTCCCCACTGTCCCAGGCTGGCTGGTCCTCCTGTCCCCACAAGCTCCTGGCCCATGCGCCCCCTTCCTTCAGGTCAGCTCACAGGTCAGGAGACTGGGGGGACTCTCCAGACCCTGGGAGAGCAGCCTCCCCTTGGCTCCCAGACGGGACAGGGCTCCCGAGGGCGCCCACCCCCATTGCTGCGTCTTCATACACTGTCCACCCTCTGTCCCCGTGACCAGACTGAGCTCCGAGCAAGACCGCAGTGACAGCAGCTCCAGGGCAGTGCTGAGCATGCGCCGCTTCCAACCCCAGGCCCTCGGGGGGCCTTGCACCCCTCAATACGCCTCACGCTGGGGGGGGTGGCACATGGAGGAGGTTTCTGGTGTGTGGGGATCAGGGCTGCAGGAGGCGATGGGGAGGAGCAGGACCAGAAGGGACGCCCTGAGGGTGATGTAGGGGCCAGGGGAGGGCGCGGCGGGGAGGGAGCCAGTCCGGTACCCCAGTCCTTTCCCCAGGATGGGACCGACCACTCCAGGGGGTGGCGGAGGGGCGGGAGCTGCAGGCCAGCCTGTCTCTCCAGTCCCGCGCCCCAGGCGTGGGAGAGTGGACGGGGGTGGGGTGGGGGCGTGTCCGTGTCCAGGGCTCCGTGAGGGCACAGCGAGGGCACAGTGAGGGCGCAGCAGATGCCACGCAGAGCTGCGGACCCTGGGGGCGGGGCTGACCAGAACACTTGTGCGAAGGAACCGTGCAGAGAAGGAAAGTCCTTTCCCGGAGGGGGAACCGCTTAAGGGCACGAACGTGAGGGGTCAGGTGCTCTCGGGGTTCGTGACCCCTCCGCAGAGCCACCAGGAGCTGGCGGGTGGGGAGCACTCAGCCGCCCCAGCTCCGGGGCTCACTGGCGGCTCCTCTGCAGGACAGCCTGCCTCTCGGGGGGCTCTCCGGAGGGGCCGAGGAGCAGCCCAGCCCTGGAGGTTGGAGACGCCTGGCGATGCGCGGAAGGGGTCTCCGGGCAGCTGTGGGCATTTCCAGATGGAGGTAACGGCGGGCAGGTGTGAGGCCGGAGGAGCGGGCGGCACCCACCTGCGCTGCAGCTCCTGTGCGTCCCGCTCCGGCCCCGCAGCGCCAGCGCCAGCAGCACCAGCAGGGTGATGATCAGGGTGGAGAGCGCCATCACCAGGAGGAACTGCCACTCCCCGTAGAACGGAGTGTCCGCCTGAGCTGCGGGCAGATGGGCACGGGGACATCGGGCAGACGCTCGGACTCGCCACCTGCCCAGGAGCTGGTCAGGGTCAGGATGTGACCGGGACCCGAGGTGCAGGGAAGACGCCGTCTGGGCCGGGTGACCACGGCCCCCAGGCTCCTGGGCGGGAACTCGGCAGCACTGCCCGGACCTCCGGGAACCGGCCGGGCCTCTGCTCCCCACGCTGCCCCCACCCGGACGTCTCTGACCCAGAGCTGCCCTCACCCCTCGTCCACTCCTTCCACCTGCTCACAGACGGGGTCTGGGTTCAAGGCGAGAGGAACGAGGTGCCCGGGCGCCTTCCCCATCACGGGCACCTCCCGCCTGTCCCTCCCAACACGGCCACTTCCCGACTCGGCTCCACTCTGCACGCCGCCCGAGGGCTCCTGCTCAGAGGGGCTGATGGCCGGCCGGCGGGAGGGGCTGGGCCCCGAGGCCCGAGCTTGCCCGCTCACAGGGGTGCTGGACGGCACCCACACCGGGCTGGAACGGCAGCCGCCCCGGTCGGGCCTGCGGTCCCTGCTGGCCTCCCCCACCCCCGGGTCCCTGGGCTGGGCTGTGCTTGCTGGTCTGGCCCCACAAACAGCTCAGCAACCGCCCAAGGGCACGTAGGGAGGCTCCATTCACAAGGTGCTTTGAAGGAAGAGACTCATCTCCTGTCTCACTCTCTTTCCTGGAAACTGCTCCCTGAAGGTGCTGGATGGCCCTGGGGCCCGCTCAGTGCCCCCCGTGCCCGGCAGGGAGCTGGTCCTGAGGCCTCACAGGAAGTCGGTGACAGCTGAGGCCCAGGCCTGTGCCCACAGAAGGCGTCTGCTGCTAGACGGGCACAGGGTGTGCCCACTGGGAACGGAGGGGAGGGGCTTGGACGACAAGACTTGGAGGGTCCCTCAGGCAGGATGGCATCTCAGTCCGTGAGCCGTGGGGGTGCTGGGCTGTCCTCCCGGGGACCCGGCTCTGACTGTCCGGCCCCTGCTCCAGGGGCACAGGGCTCTGCTGGGGCCCCGAGGCTGCCGTGACCACAGCTTCGCCAGCACCACGCCCCGGGCAGGCCCCCCTCCCGCAGGAGCCAGCTTTCCCGGGGCCCCACCTGACACGGCCGTGGACGGGCTGCTGGGCTCCCCGTAGCCCATCTGGTTCACGGCGACCACCCGGAACTCGTAGGTCACTCCTGGCCGGAGCCTGTCCAGGCTGATGGTGTAGGACGTGGCGCTCCGGGGGATGTCCTTCACGAACGTGTCCCACAGGCCTTCATCTGCAAGGGCGAGAATCGTGGGTGCAGGGGGCCGTGGGCGCTGGGGGGCCGTGGGCGCTGGGGGGCCATGGGCACAGGGGGGCCGTGGGCGCAGGGGGACCGTGGGCGCTGGGGGGCCGTGGGCACAGGGGGACCGTGGGCGCTGGGGGGCCATGGGCACAGGGGGACCGTGGGCGCTGGGGGGCCGTGGGCGCAGGGGGACCGTGGGCGCTGGGGGGCCGTGGGCACAGGGGGGCCATGGGCGCTGGGGGGCCGTGGGCGCAGGGGGACCGTGGGCGCTGGGGGGCCGTGGGCACAGGGGGGCCATGGGCGCTGGGGGGCCGTGGGCACAGGGGGACCGTGGGCGCTGGGGGGCCGTGGGCGCAGGGGGACCGTGGGCGCTGGGGGGGCGTGGGCGCAGGGGGACCGTGGGCGCTGGGGGGGCGTGGGCGCAGGGGGACCGTGGGCGCTGGGGGGCCGTGGGCGCAGGGGGACCGTGGGCGCTGGGGGGCCGTGGGCGCAGGGGGACCGTGGGCGCTGGGGGGCCGTGGGCGCAGGGGGACCGTGGGCGCTGGGGGGCCGTGGGCGCTGGGGGGCCATGGGCACAGGGGGGCTGTGGGCACAGGGGGTTGTGGGCGCAGGAGGGCCCATGGGCACAGCAGCTACCCAGGCCCACGCCCCCCGCAGTGGCTCCCCGGGCCTGTACCCCCCTTCTATACTCCCCCCACCATGGCTCCCCAGGCCTGTGCCCCCCACTATGCTCCCCCTCACGGTGGCTCCCCAGGCCTGTGCTCCCCCACTATACTCCCCCCCACAGTGGCTCCCCAGGCCTGTGCTCCCCCACTATGCTCCCCCCCACGGTGGTTCCCCAGGCCTGTGCTCCCCCACTATGCTCCCCCCCACAGTGGTTCCCCAGGCCTGTGCCCCCCCACTATGCTCCCCCCCACGGTGGTTCCCCAGGCCTGTGCTCCCCCACTATGCTCCCCCCCACGGTGGTTCCCCAGGCCCGCACACCCTGCGGCGGCTCCCCTTTGAGGGACGGTTCCCTAGCGCTCCCCACTGCCAAGGAGAAACGCCATCCCCCTCTGTGCCGGCCCCTGAAGCCACGTTTAATTTTAAGCTCTGTCAGCTCTCGGAATTGTGGGCACGTCTCATAAAAACATTTTAAAATATTGATACAGCATCTCAAGCCAGAGCGAGGCGTTTAGCAAACCACTTAGGGTGAGAAATGCTGGGCGGGGAGTCACACCGGGAGGCTCCCTCTGGATTAACGAGGAAAGGTTCACATTTTTATTCTGTTCGATTCTCCCTTCCCACAATTAGCACATTCAGCACTTCAGGCCTCATTTATAATTCACCGGCTACTTAGCCGTGCTAATATTTAAGTCGTTATCATGAGCGGTAAGGGGACCCGGCCGCGGTGGCACCGTCACCGTCTCTGTGCTGGGGGCTGTCGCACGTGGGATGTGCTGCTGAGGATCTCAGTGGCAGTGATGGAGAGAGGCCCACAAACGGACGGGGAGGGCATCACGGAACTGTCGCTAATGAGATTCGGGTGCTGATCGTCCGAGCGCCGTCGGTCAGCACCGGACAGGCCGGCAGGCCCCGGACGCCGTGAAAGGCGTCTCTGGCTCAGGTTCGGCCCGCTCCCCAGCTCAGGTGGGGCCCAGCCTTGCAGGACGCTCAGGAGACCCGGTCTGCCCCCCGCCCCCCGAGCTCCTAGGTCTTCAGCCTGAGAAACCAGGACTGGTACGAAGAGAACAGCTGTGATTCTTGAGGTTGGGCCCTCCCCTTGGTGTCCGTGGGGGGTCACGGCAGTGTGGTGAGCCCCAGTCAGGTCTGTGTGCTGCCCCCCCCCTCCCCCGAGAGAACTCCTTCCTGGACTGTTTAATGAGACACAGTTGGAAAAATGCCACGGTCAGGGGAGACGGTGGGGACCCCGCTGAGACGTCAACTTTGCAAATGTTCCTGAACAGTCCGCTCTGGTCACCCCTGAAACCCTGTCAGCGTCAGCGGAGAGCTCGCTGGGGGTCCACCCAGTCTGGCCCCCAGCTGGCTGGCTTTCTCTACAGAACACCAGCTCTGTCTTCTCTGCCCGTGCACCACCCTAGGCGAGGGGATGGCTGCGGCCGAGCCTCCGAGAACGAGCTTTCCCGCTGAGCGAGGGTCCCGTCCAGACCGCACCTGCTCCTGGCACACAGCTGGTCCGCTGGAACCTCTGCCCACACCCCCAGACAGCCCCTCGGACGCACGCTCCGGTGTCCGGAGGAGACGGAGCCCAGCTCAGGCGCATCGAGGGTTTGTCGCTCAATTTACCCTGGAGCACCCCGGGCGGAGCCGTGCTCAGGTACGGGCCGGCGCTGTGCCCGCACCAAAGTCTGATTTCACGGACAATTAAGCTGGGTCTCCACGCTGAATGAGACTGTCGTTGTGGGCCTGAGATTTCTGTTCCATTAACTCACACAGCCCACACGTGACTGTCAGCCCGCGGTCCTGGGCCAGCGGACGCCTGTCGCTTGCTGATTTCTTAAACACAACCATTTCTCTGTGTTAACGGTCACCCTGGGTTAGAAACTGCACCGGATCAGGCGGTGAAACAGGGGCCGAGGACATATCATAAAGACACCTTCTAACTAATCCTCGCTCAGGGCAGGAGCCACCATGAGATGAGCGTGCAGATCAGAGGGTGACCTGTGCTCTCCCCGGAGGGCATGGATCAGGGCCTGGGACGAAGACCCTCTCCCCGGAGGGCACGGGCCAGGGCCTGCGACGGACGCCCCTCTCCCCGGAGGGCATGGGCCAGGGCCTGGGACGGAGACCCCTCTCCCCGGAGGGCACGGGCCAGGGCCTGCGACGGAGGCCCCTCTCCCCGGAGGGCACGGGCCAGGGCTTAGGCTGTCAACACGAGTGGTTCTGAGGGGCAGGAGGTGAGCCGGGCCCGAGCTGAGGAAGAGTTGCCCTCCTGCTGCACCTGCCCTTGGGAACTCGTGTGGATTTTGTACTTTCAGAAATATACTGATTTTCTTCTTTGTTTGGTTGGAAAGTCGCACAGTCAAACACCCAACATGACAAAGATGAGTGGGGAGGAGTGGGAGGGAGGGTCCCAGCCTGGGGCGACCTGTCCCTCTGGGTGAGCACCTTCTCTGTGAGGAGCGACACCTCATGCCCTGGGCACGTCCAGCTGTGCCGGCTGCTCTGGAGAGGAGCGTCCATGGTGGTCCTTGGCGCCCTCCGCCCAGGGCCCAGGTGTGTGAGCGGCTCCGTGGGCGCCAGGCGCTGAGCGCCGGGGAAGGCTGTCAACGAGCCTGTGCTCCGGCCCCTGCGTGGCTTCCAGCCCCTTCCGGGGAGCGGGGCCCAGCGCAGCCAGAGGCACGAGCCTGGTGAGGCGGCACCGCGGAGCTGGCCGTGACGTTGGTCCCCGTGCGACGGCCACGCTGCCCGGGGACGGGGAGCCGGGGTCCAGCCGATGCTCATTGTCTCGGCAGCTGCTCGCTTCGGCGTGTCCACGACTGGTCAGCAGTGGGATGTGCGGCTGCACTGCCGCGGCCCCGCCCCTGCCCCCTGGCCACCGCTGGGTGCAGGACAGAGGGGTGGGAGGGAAGTCGGCAGGCGAGCAGACGCCGGGGCCCTGGCACCACCTGGCGCCGTGTCTTGCTCTTGCCACTGGGCAGCGAGGGTGAGGAGGCCCGAGCACGGTTGGGCGCTCTCCATCCCTCCCCCGAGGGAACTCAGGGCCCACCTTCCCACACCAGCCCCTGGGAAAGCCACTCCGGCCTGGCGACAGTCACGGCACAGAGCTCGGTGGACGCGGCACGATGCGGCTAAGGCTCTGTGGAGCGAGGCCTGTAGCAGGCGCGGCCGAGACCCGGAGCCCAGGGCACCGGCCAGGTGTTAAATATGACAGTCCAGCGAGCACTCCATCTGACGGAGCTGCTGCTGGCCGCGGTCACGGCAGGGCAGGCGTCCCCGCCCTTCAGCGGCAAGGTGGTGCTGCCCGCCCCCTGGGAGGGGAGCCTGACACCTGCTCAGGGCGTCGGGCAGCCGACCGGGAGAGCAAAGCCTCGAGTTCCCCGACACAGACGGGGCCTTCCAGGGCAGGTTCCGGTCCTGTCCCGGTGCGCCTGGGTCTGTCCACGTTCTGGTACCGGCCCGGCGACTTCAGGCGGGGGCTCCCCGAGAAAGCTGGGCCGCAGGCTGTCCCTGAAGCTGCTCTGGGCACGCTCGCCAGTGTCCGGACGCCCCCTGGGGACGGCGTGGGCTGCAGGCTGGCCTCCGACGTGGAAACCGTGTCGTGTGGAGGCCTCGTGCCCGACGGCAGGGGAACATCCATGCAGTACACGGTGTACGTGTGCACACACTTCAGGCTCACTTCTTCCTTCGAGGCCACGTGGATTCCGTCAGTTGTGGAAATAACACAGACCCACGTGTCAGTTCTCCAGGGTGCCCCAAGGGGGACCACAAACCACAGAACGTGGCAGCTGGGACACAGGCCGCAACGCCGTGGGACTGCGCATCTGCGGGCTGGCACGCTCCAGCCAGGGAGACAGGGAGTCTCGTGCCCGACCCCTGGTGCCAGGCTTCCCCTCTCCCCTTGGCACCAAGGACCCCGCAGGCGAGGCTGACCCCGAAGGGCCCTTCAGAGGACGGTGTTCGATGCGTGGATAGAGCTGAGGGGCCGGATCTATGGGTGATGCTTTGTCACCCAGCGGTAACGGGGAGGCTCACCAGCCTGTGTCCCGGTCGGGCTGGGGGTGCGGGTCGTGGGGTTTCTCAGCACCTTGCTAGGCTCACGGTTCTTGGGTGGACGTGGTGGAAGGGTGGGTGCAGCTGACCGCCCCAGGCCAGGCGACCCTGGATGACAAGGTCTGGCCATGCTGAGCGTGTGAAACAGGCCGCTGGAGGGCGCACGGGGGAGCATGGAGTCTCTGCTGTGTCCACAGGGACCACGATGACTGCGTCCCCCCGAAATTCCTGTGTTCAAGGCCTGGTCTCAACACCTGAGAATGTGACCTTATTTGGAAATAGGGTCAGTGTAGATGGGGTCAGTGCAGACGGGGTCACCAGGATGTGCAAGGGGACAGGAAAGCAGGCAGACACAGGGAGAGCCATGAGGAGGAAGCAGGCGGGCGGCCGCACGGGGACCGAGGACCGAGGACGGGGGACCGCAGCCCCCACCCGAGCTGGGAGAGGCCGCGCAGCCTCAGGGGAACCCCCGACGCAGACTCCCTGCCTCCAGAACTCAGACGGTCGTTTCTGCCGTGAGCCACCGGGCGAGGGACTCACACAGCCACCGACACGCCGCCGTAGGAAGGGAGGGAGACGCCACGTCTGAGCGGGAGGCCCGTGAACACTGAAGCCTCCTCGCTGCTGTTCACAGACCTGAACCCCCCCTGCCCTGGGAGGCACGGAGCTCTCCCTGCGGGGGTGCAGACCCCCAGCCCAGCTGGCCCGGACCCACAGGGCCTCTCAGCCCCAGGCCCTCCCTCGGGAACAGCCCTCACCTCAAATGCCACAGCAGGGGGTCGGCTGGCGTTCTGGGGGCTCCCTGCCTTCGGGGGCACAGGGGGTCACTGCTGTGGGACTGTGTTTCCAGAACAGGCCGAATGCCCTGCTAACAGAGTCTCAGGACCCTAAGGCCGGTGAGCGGAACCTCAGAACCCGGGACCAGTCCCTGGGAACCCACGTGGGTCTTACTGGTGACTAAAACGTCTCTAAGTGTCCCAGGTTCTCGTGCGCACGGTGCTGGGAGTGACAGCCGCCTGGTCAGACAGCGTGGGCCGGGGCCCGAGAGGCCAAAGCACAGGAGGACGGTGAGGGGCCCCCACGCCCCAGGGGTGCCCTCTCTGTCTCCTGTCCGGGCCACCAGAGGAGGGCTGAGGGGAGGGCCCAGGGCGGACGCCTGCACCGGACACACCCAGCGGGGACACCGGACACACCCGGCGGGGACACCGTCCCCCCGGCAGCACCCTTACCTGAGGGCCTGGCCTCTATGACGTAGCCCGTGGTGGGCGCCCGGCCGGCATACCCCTCGGTCCACCGCAGGGTCAGCTCAGAGGCGGACTTGGTGACCAAGACATCTCTCGGGGACTCCGGGGAGCCTGTGGATGAAGCGGAAGAGAGGGGAATGTTGGCCCAGGAGATTCCCAGGCCCCCGGTGAGGCCTGTGGTCGGGGTTCCCGCCCTCAGGCAGGTGGCTCCCCTCAGTGACACCGGCCTCGCGGGGTGACGAGAGGCTAGAGAGGTGACCCCTGCGTGTCCTGAGCTGTGCTGGTCCTCGGCGTATGCCCTCCTTTGGCCGCCCATGACTTCGCGAGCATCTGAACAAAGGCCCGAAGAGCTTCACGGCCGCCTTCACGGCGTGGAAGCCAGAATGCTCTTCAGCCTCTTAATCAAACATCAAATTCACTCACTCTCTCGCCTTCTCTGGGAAACACACCAAGCCTTGACGCGCTCGGCGCCCACGAAGCTGTGGTGTGCACAGAACGACCACCTTGCGTGTGGGCGCCCACCCAGAGGATGTCCGGGGCCCCCCAGTCCCGTGTTCGTGCCAGCTCACACCCACAGCTCCGCCACGGAGGCCGCGGACGGCCGTCTCGAACTCACCATCCGGGAGGCGCCCACTCACCCTCGGCCGGCCCGGCTGTGACGTTGGCCTGCAGCTCGGGCCCGTAGGCGATGGTCCGCGCTTGGACTCGGAAGAAGTAGGTCACGCCCTTGGTGAGGTCCCGCACCTTCAGCCAGCGCTGCCCGTTCCCCGTGACGTCCACGGTCACCACCTTGCTCACCCCTAGAGCAGCGAGGGACAGGCCAGAGGCCGGTTAGGGGGACCGGTGCCGTCCGGCAGTCTGCTAGGGAGGGTTTCCTGCAGTAGGAGGCGGGAAGTGGCGGTAACGGCCCGTTGTCAGCACAGGTAAGTGTCATCAGAGCTTAAGCGTGATGAGTAGCTGCTGACAGAGGGAAGACCCAGACCCACAAAGGAGGGGGAGGGCCCGTGGCCTCTCTATAGACATGGGACAGGGACAGCGCTTGGCCGGATGGGCACTTTCGGAGACCATGGGCCCGGCCCAGGGTCAGGCGTCCTGACGACACCCCGGAGGGTCCCCCCTGCTGGGCTCTGGGCCGGGCCAAGCTGTCAGCAGCCCAGGGACTGGGGTGCCTGACGGGGGAGGGGAGGACACGGGAGGGAGCAGGGAGACTTCTGTTTCAGCTCAGAGGTGGGCTCCCCCGGGAGGGGTCCCCGGCCTCCCGGGGTGGCTCCTGGGGTCTGAGGCGTCCAGCAGCCCGTGACCGCTCACACGGGCCTTGCAGCAAGAAGGGGTGTGGTCTCTGGGAATACCAACGCCCCAGCCCGGGGCCTGACCAGAGACACAGCTTCCCTCAGAAATGTGTGAACGAAGCAAAATGCGTCGCTGGTTCTATTGAGAATAATTAGAAAGTTGAGATTTAACGTTTTGAGAGGAAGATATATGCTGAAAATTATACAGACACAGCATTTTCCAGAGAGAAATGGGGCTCTGGTTAAGTGCGTTTGAAAATGATGCACTTAACAGTCGCACGAGCTCCAACTGCAGGTCTCTGCGCCTGGACGTGTCTCCGGGTGTCTCTCGGGGAGGGCATGGGGGTGCTGCATCCTGAGATGGTGTCCTGGTCAGTCCGCTCCCCCCATGCCCACGACAGGGCCGCCCTCCGTGCCCACAGCATGGCCCTCCCCCCCGTGCCCACGACAGGACCGCCCTCCGTGCCCACAGCATGGCCCTCCCCCCCGTGCCCACGACAGGGCCGCCCTCCGTGCCCACAGCATGGCCCTCCCCCCCATGTCCACGACAGGGCCGCCCTCCGTGCCCATGGCTATTCACCCGAGCTCGTCGACTGCCTGAGACTTTCCCTCCCATTTCCATCCCTGATTTGGGACGCGGCTGGGAAGGATGGCAGAAGTCCCGGGCTGCGGCTGACTAGAAGCATCTTTTCTTTGTTAGCACCTCATGAACCACGATGACTCTCGTGGTCAGCGGCGCTTAGACCCGAGCACAGGAGACCTCTTCACACCAGCTCCCGGACCTCCCCGGACGCAGCTACTTCGAAAGGAAGTGTTCTCAGGGCGCTGCACGGAGAGCCCACGTTGTCTGATGTGTGGGTGCTGCGTCCTCCCGGACGTGGGATAATCGCGGTTGTACTGCCTGTCTGTGCCCCTCACCCCGGAAACTGCCCGGCTGTCTGCCGGCTACCACCGGGCCTGGCGCAGCTGGCGGGAAAGGGACACGCTGCTCCCTGGTGAGCAGGCCAGGGGGGCGCAGAGGTGGGCAGAGGAGACGCCCAACAGCAGAGTGGGTCAGGTGTCCTAGAGCAGGCCCCAGCGTGACAGCCAAGCCACCCACTGCCCAGCTCCCTCCCTCACTCCATCCAGGAAGGCACAGCCCGGCTCCGCCTCCAAAGCCCAAGCACACCCCAGTCTGGCCAGTCCTCCCTGTCGGTGGGTCCCCTCCCCATCGCCTGCTCCCAGGGCCTGGCCAACGGGCGGCAGCACCACTGGTCTCCTGCCCAGGCCGCCCGGCTGAGCCCGTCCCCACGTCTGCAGGGCTCTCGCCTCCCCCCTTGTTCACTCTGGCGCTGTGGTCCTCCCGCCTCTCCGGCCCCTGAGTCTGAGCCTTTCCCTGCTCTTCCGGGAGGGTCTGTTTTCTCACTGATCCTGGACGTGAGGAGGCAGCTGGTACGTCTCTTCCCCAGGACAGTCAGAGAGCATTGGGGCAGAGGGATCTGGTCCAGGGTCACTCAGACCTTCCTGCTCTGACTTCACCAAGGCCCTGTGACCCTGCCCTGTGACACTGCCCTGTGACCCAGCCCTGTCACCCCACCCTGTGACCCTGCCCTGTGTGACCCGGCCCTGTGACCCTGCCCTGTGACTCCACCCTGTGACCCCACCCTGTGTGACCCGGCCCTGTGTGACCCTGCCCTGTGACCCTGCCCTGTGTGACCCTGCCCTGTGACCCTGCCCTGTGTGACCCCGCCCTGTGTGACCCGGCCCTGTGACCTTGCCCTGTGTGACCCTGCCCTGTGACCCTGCCCTGTGTGACCCGGCCCTGTGTGACCCGGCCCTGTGACCCTGCCCTGTGACCCTGCCCTGTGACCCTGCCCTGTGTGACCCCGCCCTGTGTGACCCGGCCCTGTGACCCTGCCCTGTGACCCCGCCCTGTGTGACCCGGCCCTGTGTGACCCGGCCCTGTGACCTTGCCCTGTGTGACCCTGCCCTGTGACCCGGCCCTGTGTGACCTGGCCCTGTGACCCAACCTGCGTAACCCGGCCCTGTGTGACTCTGCCCTGTGACCCTGCCCTGTGACCCTGCCCTGTGACCCTGCCCTGTGTGACCCCGCCCTGTGTGACCCGGCCCTGTGACCCTGCCCTGTGACCCTGCCCTGTGACCCTGCCCTGTGTGACCCCGCCCTGTGTGACCCGGCCCTGTGACCCTGCCCTGTGACCCCGCCCTGTGTGACCCGGCCCTGTGTGACCCGGCCCTGTGACCTTGCCCTGTGTGACTCTGCCCTGTGACCCTGCCCTGTGACCTGGCCCTGTGTGACCCCGACCTGTGACCCTGACCTGTGTGACCCGGCCCTGCGTGACCCGGCCCTGTGACCCTGCCCTGTGACCCGGCCCTGTGTGACCCTGATCTGTGACCCTGCCCTGTGACCCTGCCCTGTGACCCAGCCCTGTGTGACCCTGATCTGTGACCCTGCCCTGTGACCTGGCCCTGTGTGACCTGGCCCTGTGACCCTGCCTTGTGACCTGGCCCTGTGTGACCTGGCCCTGCGTGACACTGCCCCGTGACCCCGCCCTGTGTGACCCTGCCCCGTGACCCCACCCTGTGACCCCACCCTGTGTGACCCTGCCCTGTGACCCCACCCCATGACCCCGCCCTGTGACCTGGCCCTGTGACCCGGCCACTGGCAGCAGGAAGGGGCTCATATGGCTCCCCCCTCAGTCAGCTGGGCCTGGGAAGGATGCTGCCCCCTCAGGGCTTTGGGGACTCGCCCTCTGCAGGAGGCTCTGCCCTCAGACCTGTGTGCCTGGGTCCTCCCTGTCCTCCAGGTCCCCTGTGCCCACACCTGTGCTGTCTCCTTCAGCGCTCTGGTCCCCACCGGACCCGTGTCTGTGGCTGACTGCCGCCCTCTCCTCCCCGGACACTGGGGAGGGTCCCAAGAAGCCAGTCTGTTAGAACCACCCTTCCTGCACCAGCACCCAGCACCCAGCAGGTGGTTGGTGGTCACTGGGTGAGGAAGGGAATGAATGGAGGGGACCAGAGAAGCGCCTGTCAGAGCCCCCCCCGGAGCTGATGCCATCTGGTCGGCAGCGCTGCCCTTAGTGGGCCCACAAGTGGCAGCCATGGTGCCTCCCTGGTACCCATGAGGACCAAGCTCCCAGGAGGAGCTGGAGAGAAACGTCTCAGGAATTAGAGACCAGAGAGGGGCAGACGCCCGCAGAGAGCGCCCTCTGGAGCTCGGAACACAGCCTGGCCCGCTCCGCGCCGTCCAGGGCGTGCTGTGCCCCTGTGGCCGCCCGCCCCCTCTGGCCTTACCTTGCACAGGCGCCAAGGGCTCGTACACCACGCGGTAGCCCTGCAGGATGCCGTTGGCGGCCGCCGGCTCCCCCCAGGAGACGTTGAGCGTGGTGGAGGTTACTTCTGAGAAGGCCAGAAAGCTGGGGCTCCCGGGCGCTAGAGGAACAGAGCACAGGGGACTTTCACTGATGCTCTCCATGGACCGTCCACGTCCATGCCTCTGCCTCCGTGGGGACAAAACATGTGATCAGAAGCCACTTTCCACTCAGGGAAGGTCTAACGCCATCTGGTGGGAAGGGATCGACCAGAAACCCAGGCCGCCAAGGAGAGCGGAGAAACACAGAGGAGCCCCGGAGGCCTGGGGACACAGCACAGAGGTGAACCTCGGACGGGAACAAACACGAAAGGCAGATGCTCCATCTCCCGCAACTGCTGGAGGGTCCAGAGGTCCTCCCTGCTCGTCCGGGGGGGACGGACCCTGTCGGCCGAGGCCCTGCCCTCCCTCCACCCGCAGGGGCTGGGAGGTCTCAGAGGACACCCTCCTGGCCCCCATCGGAAATGCCATTGCGCTCAGAGAGCCCCTTCTGGTCAGGAGCTGAGGAGCGGTCCTGGGCTGGAGGACAAGACCGAGACAGAGGGCCAGTGTGTGGAAGGCCGTGGCCCGACCTGCTCAGCCCCTCTGCCTGGGCTCCTTGCACAAGTGGGGGTGGGTGTTGGTGCCCTGAGCCCCCCCCAAGGGCCTGTGTGGGGAACGACTCCTCCAGCTCCCCTGGGTGCTCAGGAACCTTTTTGCCTTCCCTTCCTCCTGGGGCCCTTTGACCCTGTGACCTGCAGGCCCGCAGTGCCTGGGGAGGTGCCCGCCCCTCCTCTCCGGCCCTCAGGTCGGCCCACATGTTCCAGGGCGGCGCCCACATATGGCCCACGTGGCTGCGGGCCCAGAGGAAGCGGAGGCTCAGCAGCCCCGCCCAGAGATGCATTATCTCCGGGGTGGGGTGGGGGGTTGCTGGTGGGCTGAACCCACAGAATGTCAGGAAGCCCTGCAGGTCCTCACTCCGTGGGCCTGCTAGCCCCCCCTGCCCCCGACTCCAGGGTCCGTCCTACAGGGAGGCTCTGAGAGCTGCCAGGCCCCGGTCAGGCCGCCCGGAAATACCTGGTCGGGTTTGTCACGCTCTCCAGGCCGCTAGGAAACAGCCATCAGAACCACCCTGTGCCCTGCGTGACAGCAGGCGGCTCAGCCCACCCCGCACCTGGGTCTGGCCGGGGCGTGTGTCTGGAGACAGCTGGCGACCTTTCCAGGGGTGGCCTGTGGCCCAGGCCCAGGGGATGCCCGATACCATGGCCTGGGCTCAACCCACCGGGGCGCCCTCCCTAGTGGTCTGAACACACTGGTTGGTGAGTCCGATAAGACGTCCCCAGAGGGACTGCAATGTGTCCTCGTGATTATGGACGAGGCCTGGGTGCAGCACAGGGCCTGCCCCCCCTCGGTGACCCTCACGTCGGGCAACAGTCACCGAGCCCTGCCCTGACCAGGCCGAGGCCAGGCCCCAGGGCAGCCCGAGGACCCAGCCACACGTGCACGCCCCCAGGCCCGGCAGAGCTACGGGGACCCGCAAGGGGCTGCTCCCAGGAGCGTCCCACAGAGGCCTGCGAACAGGAAGCCGCGGTGGTTTCTCCTACCGGCCTGGTGGGTGCGCCCCTGCCGCGGGTCACTTCTGGGCCCATCTCCAGCGGCGTTGAAGGCGGAGATGCTGACCAGGTAGCGGGTGTGGCTGGTCAGGTTCTTCAGCTTCACGGTGGTCTCCGGCAGAAACAGCACCTTCATCTTCTCCGTTTCATTCTGGCTGGCTGCCTCCCAGTAGTAAATCTGTGGGACAGAGCGAGGGGTCGGAGGCAGCCACGGGGAGGGGAGGCAGGCACGGGAAGGGGAGGCAGGCACGGGAGGGGTGGCAGGCACGGGGAGGGGAGGCAGGCACGGGAGGGGTGGCAGGCACGGGGAGGGGAGGCAGCCACGGGAGGGGTGGCAGGCACGGGGAGGGGAGGCAGCCACGGGGAGGGGTGGCAGCCACGGGAGGGGTGGCAGGCACGGGGAGGGGAGGCAGGCACGGGGAGGGGTGGCAGGCACGGGGAGGGGAGGCAGCCACGGGAGGGGTGGCAGGCACGGGGAGGGGAGGCAGCCACGGGGAGGGGTGGCAGCCACGGGAGGGGTGGCAGGCACGGGGAGGGGAGGCAGGCACGGGGAGGGGTGGCAGCCACAGGAAGGGGAGGCAGCCACGGGAAGGGGAAGTCCACGGGAGGCAGCACGGGGGGGTGGCAGCCACGGGGAGGGGAGGCAGCCACGGGGAGGGGTGGCAGCCACGGGGAGGGGAGGCAGCCATGGGGAGGGGTGGCAGCCACGGGGAGGGGTGGCAGCCACGGGGAGGGGAGGCAGCCATGGGGAGGGGAGGCAGCCACGGGGAGGGGAGGCAGCCACGGGGAGGGGTGGCAGCCACGGGGAGGGGAGGCAGCCACGGGGAGGGGAGGCAGCCACGGGGAGGGGAGGCAGTCACGGGGAGGGGAGGCAGCCACGGGGAGGGGAGGCAGCCACGGGGAGGGGAGGCAGGCACGGGGAGGGGTGCCACCGCTTCCAGCTGTGGGGAGAGATGAGCCCACAAGCGGGGGCTGAGCAGCCTCCAGGGTGCAGCTCCGCTGAGCGCAAGGGCGAAGGGGGGCCCTCTGCTGCAGGATCGGGGCAGTGAGGTCAGTGCCAGGGTGGACGGGGATCCTCGGCTGCTCATGTGGTCTGGGGAGCTGGTGACCAGCGTTTCTGAGCATCCATCTAGAGTCCTGCCACTGCCTCGGTGACCCCGTGCTGTCTGGGACAGTCTGAGGACGGAGGGGCCCTTTGGACCAGGGAAGGCCTTGCAGGGCCAAGGCTGCTGGTGCCGTTGTTCATGTCCACCGTGCCCCGGGCTCTTGGAGAGAAGGGACACCAACCCCATTGCCCTGCTCCGGCCTGTGGACAGACCCCAGCGTCCACCCCGAGCTCCCAGGTCTCATTCACGGCTGACCTAAGCCTTTGGTCAGTGTGGCCCCAGGCTGGAGATTAAAAGAAGAAATGACATGGGCAAGAACCGGGTTGGGCTCAGCGCTTCTCCTGGACCTCATCCCCGGTCGCTGAGTTTTATGTGCCTGAGGGTGGACCGATGTCCAGGACGGAGGTCTGCAGAGCCGCCAGCCCGGCTCCCCTGGACGGCTGGCCAGGGACCACGCCCGGCAGCGCTGGCCCAGCGAGCATCGCGCGCCTGTGCCGCTCAGTCCAGCTCTGCGCTCCGACCTGCCCGGATGAGGGCCTCTGCCCGGAGCGGCCTCCTAATGAGATCAATATCCCAGTCCAATGTCTTCATCATTAAGGACATTAGAAAACACATTTTGGACACACACAAATGGCATCTTGACTCCAAGCTCACGGGACTCGCCATCATCTCGTTAATCATCGGAACAGCCCTGCCACGGAGGAGGGTGTTTATTTTCATGAAACACCGACAAAAATAATTTTTAAATGGACACGTAATTGGTCCCGTAGTCACCAGGGTGGGTCAGCCCATAGGAGCGGATGACGGATCGGCTTGGGCTCCAACAGCCCAGACCAGGCGATGCGTCAGGAGGAGGGTGGGACGGTTGCGGAACCGCACGGCTGTCTGCGCCGGGGGCTTTCGGGGTTCCCACGGGCTCTGGGCTCTACGCGGTGGACCGAGGCAAGGACTCCCTGCCCCCGGTAGTCCAGCTCTGCAACTATCCATCCCCCAAACTCGTCTCTGTCTGCCGGTTCCCTTTCTTCTGCCCTATCTCTGGAATCTTGTAGCTAATGTGGAATCCTAACAGTGTGGTGTGGTGGTTCTCAAAGTGGGGTTCCTAGGAACCACACCCCCGGGGGGACTTGCTAGGATTGGAAATTCTCGGGTCCCACACTGGATCTATTGAATCAAAAGGTCCATGCACCATCCTCTGGAGGCCCAGGGGCAGAGCTGGGATGGGGAGCTGTTCTCATTATTGCAGACACCAGACTCCTGAGTGGGTGGGTGGGGGGGGGCTCTGACCAGGCCTGGGAGGGAGAGGCCTCGGGGCAAGAACTGGCCAAGAGGCAAGGTGGGCCTGGCCCGCCCCTGGCGCCCAGTGAGGCCACAGCTCTGCGGGCTGACGGCCGGCTGTGGTCTGCCCCAGCAGCCAGGGAGCAAAGCCGAGCGGGGCAGCAGGGACTGGGGTCAGCATCACATCCGGGGATCTAGGCTGCTCATCCTGGCCCACAGTGGCCTGGAGGAAGGAGCCCAGCCCAGCGAGAGAGCCTTGCCTTGTAGCCCTGGACGTTCCCGTTCTGGCTCTTGGGCGGCGGCGGCTCCCACGTGACCTCCAGCTGGCTGGCCGTGAGCGGGTTCACCTGGACGTTCTGCGGGGCCATGGCCGGGGCTGGGGAGACAGCAGGACAGGAGGGCAGCTGAGACGCTGTGCCCGGACCTCCGGCTTCGATGCCAGGAAACCGCACGCCGTGCCCGGTCACATCTTCACAGGATTGAATAACATCGGGGGACCCACAGAGCAAACCACAGAGCAAACCGATGACACTGAGACCCAGCGAGCGGTGTTGCGACAGGACCCACGTGCTCTGGGCCTGAGACACAGGTGGGCGGAGGACCAGTCCAGTGACTGCTGCCACATGAAGTGGGGACCAGCAGAGGACACCTCAGGAGACGGAAGTTTCAGGTGGGGTGTGGGGAGACGAAGGTGTCTGTTCCCATCATGAGCCCAGGGGTGCGGGTTCTGGGTGGAGTTTGTCTGCAGACACAGGTCTGCCCCTCCAGGAGGGACGGGAACACAGTTCATCTTGACGTGCTCCTCTGGGAGGCTTCTGCTCCTTCCCCCCACCCAGGGCGGCCCCACAGGTGAAAGGTGACAGATGAGAACATGGCCATTACCCCCAGGTGGCCCTTGGGAAGCTGGGAATAACAGAGGACACAGATGTGTGGGTCAGGACATTTCTCACACTGGGCACACCGGCGGGCCTCTGCCCTGTTCTCCCTCCCTGGCACCCTCTGCAGAACCCATGCTGAAGCCAGAGTGTCCGAGGGGCGGGGGGCGCCGGCAGCGTGCCCTGGGCCCAGGAGAGCCGCCTCTGGACTCGAGTCTGTTTATAGGTCACGCACGGAAACCATAAAACAGTCGCTACCGAGGGAGACAGCCCAGGGCACCAGCTCCCTGGAAAGCCTTCTCCGGAGAGAGTGACCTTCATGAGCCACCCCTTCCCCTGGGCTCCCCTCCCCCAACGTGGAATAAAATAGTAATTAACACCCACCCAGCCTGACACCAACATCCATTTTGTTCTAACCGTGGGCTCCCGCTCCCGGCTGCCCACCCTGCGCTGATGGAAATGTTAATAGCCCACCAGGTTGCCGTGGCAGATGCTCGGCCTCATTATCAGGGTTCTTATTTACCGCTCCATTAAACAACAGAATCACACAAAAAAACAATTCAATCAAAACTAACTGGGGGATTTTAACAGCCACATTAATAATCCAAAACATAAATAAAGTTAATGTCTTCTGCATGTTTGCCATCGGCATCTCTATCGCAAGATTACTGTTGTGCAATTAAAACGTGAGGCCGAACCGAGGGCGTCTATTACCCTGCTCGTCGGCGAGAGCCACCGTGCACGGTCCCCGCCCACCCCCAAGCTTCCTTTCGAAGGCACGGCTGAGGCCGGCCCCAGATGGCGCAGCGGTAGGGAACGCCCTGGACGCGGTCCCCGGGAGCTGCAGCAGGTGCCCGGTGTCGGGGCCTCGGTCCCTGCACTGCGATCACCCCGTGCTGGACAGAGGCCCCGGAGTCCCACCCACTGCTGTCCCCACGCTGAGACCCTGACGTACCCACGTCCACCCGGTGGCTCAGGCTTCTGTGCCACAAAACAGCCAGGAACAAGAACTTCGACAAGCAGGGAAGAGAGAAACGTGTGTGAGCGCAGAGCGAAGCATGCTGGGGTGAGACCTGGCACCTCGCACCGAGCCCAGCAGGCCCTGGCACCTGCTGACACCACGGCCTCCGTCATATGGAGGGTGGGTGCCCAGGGCCAGGGCCTTCTCCAGCCCGTCGCCCCTCCCCCTGCCTCACTGCTGAGCCAGAAGGAAAACAGCTCCGAGGAAGCTTAACGAGAAAAATCAGGAAACTGGTCACAAAAGCCGTTTCCAAAAAAATCAATGCTTTGTGCTGCAGGGCCCAGAAACCGTAAATGGGAGGTCTCGGCAAAGACCCTGGACGGCGCGTTTTGAGATCTGGGTTCAGCCGGTGGGACTTGGGACTCGGTTTAATCTGTCTGGGCCTGTTTTATCGTTTGTAAAAGAGGAGGAAATAGCGAACTGGGGGGTTCACGAGATGAAGTGAGTCATGGCAAAGAGCAGGCGCTCGATAACGGCGAGTCCAGCAGCCTGGCCGCACCGTCCCCTCGGGCTCCGTCCCCGGAGAGACCGTAAGGAGCTGTCGCTGTGCGCTGGCAGGTTTCAAAGCCCGTCTCCCTGGGGTGCCCCGTGAGCTAAGAGCAGCAGAGGGGGGCTTGGGTTCTGCCTCCACAGCCTTGGACGTGGGCGTCAGGGGTCATGGAGGCGGCTCCAGCGTCCTGCCTCCTGGGGCTCACGGCCTTGTGCAACCCCTCCTCCAAGCGGGGCTCTGGCCGGCGGAGTGTGACGGTGGTGGCACTGTGCCCAGGTCACAGGAGACAGAGCCAGCCTGCTGGCACCTGCTCGCGCAGAGGAGGCTGGCTGCCTGTGTGACGCGCTCTATGGGGAGGCTCCTAGGGCAAGGACCTCGGGGAGGCTCCGTCCAACAGCCAGGAAACCCTTCCTGCCCACAAGCATGCCGGTGAGCTTAGGAATGACCTCCCCTGACCCCACTTCCAGGGCAGATGGCAGGCCCAAGGCACAGGTCCTGGTTTCTATGGAGACCGTGAGGTCAGTGTGCTGTTTTGGGCAGCTATGCTGGGCTGGCTGGTTGTGCAGCTTGAGGTACCTCATGTCCCCAGGGGTGAGCCCCCTGGGGGAGGAACCAGCCTGGGCCGAATCCTGGGCTCTCAGAGAGAGGCTTGAATTGGGGTCACCCCTGACAAAAGTGCTGGACCTCACGGTGCTCATGCACCAGCCCACTGATAACTGACTTGTGTTCACCACCGGCCAGGCCGCGAGCCGAGGGACCCAGGGCACTGCTGCCCTTCTTCCTGGGACCAGCACACAGACTTCGGAGGCAGCACGGGGTTCGAGGGGTTCTGATGACAGGAGCCAGCAGAGCAAAGACAAGGCAGAGCCAGCGAGGACTGAGTCCTGACAGAGTGCGTGTACTGTGTAGACAGAGGGCTGCTCAGGTGTGGGACACTCAGGTGTAGGATGCTCAGGTGAGGGGATGGTCAGGTGAGGGGACGTCAGGTGAGGGGACAGTCACTGGGACGGTCAGGTGTAGGATGCTCAGGTGAGGGGCGGTCAGGTGCGAGATGCTCAGGTGAGGGGATGGTCAGGTGCAGGATGCTCAGGTGAGGGGACGGTCAGGTGCAGGATGCTCAGGTGAGGGGACGGTCAGGTGCGAGATGCTCAGGTGAGGGGACGGTCAGGTGAGGGGACGGTCACTGGGACGGTCAGGTGTAGGATGCTCAGGTGAGGGGATGCTCAGGTGAGGGGACGTCAGGTGAGGGGACGGTCACTGGGACAGTCAGGTGTAGGATGCTCAGGTGAGGGGCGGTCAGGTGCGGGATGCTCAGGTGAGGGGATGCTCATGTGAGGGGATTGTCAGGTGCAGGACACTCAGGTGAGGGGATGGTCAGGTGCAGGATGCTCAGGTGAGGGACTGCTCAGGTGAGGGGATGCTCAGGTGAGGGGACGGTCAGGTGCGAGATGCTCAGGTGAGGGGACGTCAGGTGAGGGGACGGTCAGGTGCGAGATGCTCAGGTGCGAGACACTCCCATGAGGTCACTCAGGTGCGTGGACCGGGAGCAGTGTGGGTGCAGCGGGGTCCTGTGTACACCGTGTGAGTAAGAGTACTTTTAGAGACACACACAGAAGACCTTCCTGGAGGTGACGTGACATTTACGGAAAGGACTCGGGGTCTGAGAAGCACCAGGGGACGAGGTGGACAGTGGGCCGCCGGCCTTGTGCTGGAGCCGGGCCTGTCCTCACCCACACGCCCTGAGGAGTGAACACACACACAAGCACCAGGAGGGGTTCCCTGGGGGAGAGCAAGCTGGGAAAGAGGCACAGGCAGGCCGTGTGGGGACAGACGGGTCAGAGCACACAGACCCCTGCCGTGCCCCGTGTTGCCACACGCCGTGGGCACGTGGACACCGACTCCACGCAGAACACGCGCAGATGGGGCCACCCTCCTTGTGTGGGTGATCACCTCTGTCCATCCTGCCATGTTCAGTCCACACTGAGCTCTGGGGCCGCAGAAGGGCCCACAACCTGGGGGCTGACCTGGAGAGCTCAGCTCTTCGGGGCCCCAGCCAGGCCAGCTCCCCGGCCCGGGGTGCACTCCTCAGGGGCTCCCCCTCAGGGCCTGGCGGGTGGCGAGCGAGTGGGAGCTCAGTGAGGACTTGGTCCGTCGCCAGTACCAGACTCTCCGGAGAACCTGCCAAGGACTTGGACTCCGTGCGTGACGGGTGGGACCCCTTCCAAATGAAGCACTAGACATGCTCCGCCGCCTCCTCCACGGACGAAGGGAGGCTGTTAACAATGTCATTCGTCCACCAGCACCTCCTGCGCCCCATCCGCGGGAACGGGCGACACAGGCCTTTAACCAACCCCACCCCCACGCGGGCCTCACGGAGAGGGGTCCTGGGAGAAGGGTGCCGGACAGAGCCTGGCAGGGGCGGCACAAGGCCCCGGTGCTGCCCCGTGATGCCGGCAGGCCAGGGGGGCAAACGCCCCCTCCCTCCCCATGTCTGGCGGCCTGCCAGGCGCGGGCTCAGTGGGGAGGCAGGAGGTGTCCACGCAGGGGCCCCAGGCTGAACCCCTTGGCCAGGCTCACGGAGTGTGTGCAGGGGGGAGCCCAGCACACGCCGGACCCCAGAGAGCGGGGAGAGCACAGCCCTGGGCATCCCTGGGCATCAGGGAGGAAAGAGCAACAGACACAGCAGGCAGCCAGCAGCCTCCACGCCCTCAGGACGGCCCGACGTACTTCACGGCTGCTGAATGCTGGCGTGGTCGGCCCGGCCACAGGCACAGTGAGGACCTGCCTGGGTTTTCATGACTTCATGATTCGTGTCCCATCCAGAATGACCCAGAAGTCCTGCTGAAGGGCTGTGGAGGGGGGACAGCCCGTTACTCTCAGGCTACTGCACTGTCACGAGCGTCTCCAGCCGCTCCGCTCAGCCTCCTCCAGTGCGCAGGACCCACGACTGCCGCGTGCCTCATCCTAGCCCACAGCCGTGGAGTCGCTGCTGCAGGAGCAGGGTTGCCAGTTCAGGCCCAGCCAGCGCCCGTCAGACCTGGTCACATTCTGGGCTGGAACAGCTGCTGCTCTGGCCAGACCCGCCTCAGGTCTGACTGGGTTTTCTCTGCCCTGCCAGGTCCATCCAGGCTCTGCAGATGGAACCATTTGAGTTTGGATGAGGAGTCCATCCTGCCTTGGAAGGTGGCCGAGGCGCAGAGAAGCAGGGTGGCTGTCAGGAGCTCGCCAGGCCCACCCTTGACATTCAGATGGACGGGACAGGAACCTGTTAACAATGGGCCAGCACCTCATAAGCCTTCAGTCCCTGATCTTCACCATGACACATGACAACACTGGGCCCTGCGCCTGAACTCTGCCCCAGTCACAGGCCTGAGCAACAGCCCTCGCCCAAACACTGGCACTTGGTTGGAGCTGTCGGGTCTGGGGCCCAAGATTTCAGCAGGGGGTGAGGGAAGAGTGGAGTAGGAGGTGTTGACCACTTGTGCATCAAATGCTGACCCGCCGTAGTCCAGGCACTTTCTGGACATCTATCCCATGAGTGAATGGACAAGTTGGACAGAATCGGACCAGGACCTGAGCTGCCCCACTCCTAGCTCTCAGCCGTCCTGTCTACACTCTGACACCCAAGCCAGGCTCAGAGTGGGTAAGTGACTCGCCCATGGTCACACAGCCGGTAACCAGCAGAGCTGACTCCCAGACCCATGAGGCGTCCAGGAGCAAGTGCGGCCCAGTTCTGGGCGGGCCGAGCACTGCACCCCGGCCGGCTGGTGACGTGACAAGGCATCGAGCGCAGTGACAGGAAGCTGGCTTGACCAGGTTCTATTTTCTGAAGGCCCGGTTTGCAGGGCCTTGTGGTCAGATGAGGCCACAGTGGGTGCGGGGCTGTGGCAGCAATGCTGGAGGCCTTGGCACCCTCCTCCCAGAATGCTCTCTGCAGTGTGAACAGAGGACAGAGATGCGCTGAGGCTGAACCACAGCTCAGAGGCCAGGGGAGAGTCTGAGCCCCACCTGCTGGGAGAGGACTTCCTGCTGCCAGTCTCAGCCCCGCCCACCTGCAGGTCCAGTGCCCGGACCCCACTGCTCCCTGCCTGCCCCAAAGGCTCTGCAGCCACTGTTGGCCGGACAGCATCTGGGCCCTTGTCCTGAGCCCTGGACGAGGAGCATTACAGGACGAGTGCCGTGGTCCCGGGAGGGGACAGACAAGGACGTGCAGACATCTCCCTGAGGATGGATGCGGACGGAACCTGGACCCGCCTGGAGGGAGGGTCAGGGCTTGGGGGAGGAGCCAGGGCGGCCTGTCCCGGGTCTCCTGGTGAAGCTGGGCCCTGGGTGCTGTCCGGATTGTAAGGGCAGCCTCTCCAGCCCGAAAGGCCGTCCGAGGAGCTTCTGCATGTGTCTCTGTCCGCGGGGGCAATTCCAGTCATTCTGACCAGCATGTCACCCCTGACCCTGCACCAGCAGATGTGAGCAGACACCCAGGCCCCTGGCCAACCTGGAGAACACGGCTGTCAGCCGGGGAGTGGGACCCTGGGGAGGCCCATCCAGCAGAGGACGGGGAGCTGCTGTGACCGAGGCCACACAACGAGGCATCCCACAGTGAGGGAGCCCGCCGAGGGGCGGTCCCTGCAACAAACTCAGGGCCGTGTCGTGTCTAAAGGGGTGGAAACTATGAGCCATGTGGCTGCCTGAGCCCGAGGAGGGGCTGTTACCAGGAGTCAGACTCATAGGGCGCCGGTGCCAACGCCGAGGCCCAGCCAGGGACGCAGGGGACAGAGCACGCCCACCTCCCTCCAGACCCGAGGCTCCCGCACAACGGGGCCCCGATGGAGGCAGCAGCATTGCTCCAGGTGCCACACACCTGGGGTCTCAAGGCAGCGCCTGCCTGCTCACTCTGCCGTCGGGTCATGGCAGCCCTTGCTGAGCCTGTGACGGGCACACCTCCACCCCACCAGCAACGTGATCTCCAAGACAGGGACACCGCGGGACCCCGAGCGCGCGGGGCCAGGCCCCACACTGTGGCCTCGGGCTGCGGGGCGGGGACGCCGGGGCTCACCGGCCTCGCCGACGAAGACCTCCACGGGCGCAGTGGCCGGGCTCTCCCCGATGATGTTGTAGGCCGTCAGGACCACCTCGTAGCGCCGGTACTTCTTCAGATCTGCAAGGGGACGGAGATGGGTCAGCGTGCCGGGACCACTCCCCTTCGGAAGGCCCTGTCTGCTCCACACCGAGGGCTTCGGTGCCTCCAAGGAGGCTGGGGGCAGTGAGCCTGGCTCCCGCCGAGCTCTGGGAGGGGCCCCCCACCCCACCCATCCTGGGTCGTGGCTGAGCAGCCATCCGTCCTGCAGGGGGGGCCGCAGCACCCTCTGCACGGGCCACACGGTGCCTGCCGGTCTCCACCCCAGGCGTGCCTGCGCATGCACAGAGGGGAAGGGACTGTCCACTGAGACAGACGCGTGGCCGTGGACAAGCTGCACGGCCAGGCCACCCACCGTCCTCCCGTCCTCCACCACCCGCCCTGGGAAGCCCGGGGAGAGAGCCGGTCTGCCTTAGCCCAGCTGCCGGGAGGCCAGGGTCCTGGGAGAGGCGGGACACCGCAGGGGCACGAGGAAGGGCCGGGAGCAGGCAGATGGACAGAGCCCTGTCAAAGCAGCAAGGGGGACGGAGCTGGTGCTCAGTCCACGTTCTGTCCCCAAGCAAAAACAACTGCTCAGCAAGTCCCCCCCCGGCCTGTTTCCAGAGGGTTCCTGCCCGCCTGGTGGTTTGGGCATGTTGAGGAGCAGTGTTTGGGGGGGGTTCCCACAAGGAGAGCCCTGATCCCAGCTGGTTCAGGCGGCCCCCGCGGCGCTGGGTCACAGCGGGTGGTGTGCACGTACGTGTCAACTCATATGTGGTCAGCGTGGAGCTGCTGTTCACGGTCCTGAAGCTGCCGTGGGCTGTGAGCAGAGCAGAAAGGCGGTTAGCATGCAGGACGAGCTGCAGGAATGGGGCCAGGCCGCGCCCCGGCCACCACGGCCCTCAGCTCCCGGGCTCATCGCACTGCTCTGAAGGAGACGGGGTGGTGTGTGCCCCCGCGGATGACCAGGATCACTTGGCACAACATAGTACAAAGTGACACTAGACATGACATGGGGATCAGTTTCTCCCTGGACAGTGACTTCTCCAGATACCTGGTGGCAGGTATGGTGGTCAGCTTACCTGAGCTCAGGTAAGAGCCTTGGTCTGAAGGGGACAAGCAAACCACATTGCGGGAAGAGCACGTGACCAGCTGTCCTGGCCCCACAGCATCCCGGGTCCTTTAATTTCATTATTTTGATTTTGCTACGAGGCCCAAGGACACCTGGGGTGAGCTGAGGGTGTGGGAGCCAACTGGGCCCTCCCCTGCCGTCAGCTCCCCACCTGCGCTCACTGCTCAGATGCGGGGGGGTGTTCCCGGACACCTGGAGGACGCGGGGAGGACCCTGAGAGGAGGGGTGAGAGCAGCCCTCCCGGAGCTCCTGAAGCTGCTGGACCGCTGTTGGGACGGTTGGGACGGCTGGGACCACGTGCAGACCCGCTCACTTAGGCTGGGGCACCCCTGTCCCCGAGGCCTGGCTGCTGCTCCCTTAAGGAGGCTGCATCGCACGGCCCCACCACCTGCTGGCCCGCTGCTCCCGCCTGGCTGCTCGGTCCCTCAGCCCTCACCTCCCACCTCCCACCATTCAGTTTGGCCGGGCCCTGGTCAGTCTCATCCTTTACACCCTCGGTGAAGTCCTCCCACCCTGACAAGTCACCACAGAGGGCTCCTCCTCCATGAAGCCTCCTGGAACCCCTCTGGGTGGAGTCCCCAAAGCTTGGAGCTCTGTGTGTGCTGCCATCTGGCTGTGCACCCAGGGCTGCTGCAGAGACGTCCCCGCACCTCCCCGGCCCCATGGCATTCCCGCCATGCCTCCACGAGCAGGTGCATGACCGTGACCAGGGCCCTCCCCGCCAACCTGGGCCAGAGGAGGGCAGAGCGCTCACCTGCGAGCTCGCTCCGTAACGCCGAGGGGCTTTTGAGCGCCTTGGACCCGGTGGCTGCGGCCGCCTCGGACTCCAGCTCCCGGTAGTAGATCCGGTAGCCCTGGAGCAGGCCGTTCAGGCTCTCATCCCTGGGAGGCTGCAGAGGCATCGCCAGTCAGCCCTCGGAAGGCCTCCTCGCGTCGTCTCACCGGGCAGCCGCCCAGGAGGACGTCCCTCGCTCATGCAGACGCCTCCAGGTGCTCACAAGGCAAAAGGGCAGGTGTCCCCTGCCTGACGAGGACCTGGACTCCCAGGCCCCGGGCCAGGCTGTGCAGCGTCTCCTCAGAGCCTGGTTTCCCGGGGCTGCGGGGACACAGCATCTCGCTTGCAGCCTGCTGTCCTCGAATGGGCCCAAGGGACCGCGGTCCAGGTCACAGACGGGCGAGGAAGCTGCCCGCTCGGGGGACCCAGAACTCTATGGGAACCATGGGCGTGGCCTGGCCCCGCCCGGTCCCTTCAGTCCCCGGCACCCAGCCTGGGGCAGCCTCACTGGAAACACACAGCGAGGAGCCTTTGCGAGTGGGAGACGACAGTGACCCCGCGACCCGGGCCCTTGCCTTCCCTTCCCGGGGCTGCCGGAGACTCGTGTCCCCGAGTCAGGTGCACCCCGGGAGCCAGGCATCCTGCGGACAGTCCCTGGGCACCCCTCATGCTCAGCACGCGGGAGTGGGGGGTCTGGGCGGCCAGGAGGAACGCCGGGCTTCCCCGTCTGGGATCTGAGCTGACGTGAGTCGGACGGAAGGGGGAGGCCAGTGGGCCCCAGCCCAGCGCCCGCCCCAGGCGGCCATCGCAGCTCCCCGAGGCCTCGATCCCGCGGGGGTACAAGTGCTGGGACCTTGGGGTGGGGAAGAAGCCGGCACAGGTCCCAGGCTGGCTGTGGACACACACAGGCTCCGGACGGCCAGTGAGGGCAACTACTCTTGTACGAGAGGCCCAGCTGCCCCTGGACTGGGCAGCGTGCCCACTGGCAGCAAGCTCACTGAGGCCTGAGCCAGAGACCCCCAGCTCCCCCGCAGGAGCCATCAGGCCTGGGCAGGGGACAGGCCACACAGCCCAGAGGGCGCCTCTCTGGTCCGGGCCTCGCGAAGGGCAGGCTCTCCCGACCCACGGAGACCTGGGGCTGCAGGGGTTCGGAGCTGCAGAAACCACGTTCCAGGCTGCAAGTCTGGAATAACCCTGCCTGGGAAGAGGGCTCCACGACCCTGGGTGCCCTGGGGGGTATCACGCGGGCAGCTCCCAGGACACACGGAGAGTTCTAGAAGAGATGAGCTGAGCTCAGGCTCTGGGAGAAGCTCTGGCTCCGCACTGTGGGCTCCTGCTGGCTGCTGGACCTCACTGCTCGGCCCGCAGCCATAACAGACCAGAAGGTCCCCTCTGCATGTGCAGATCTTCCATAAGCCCCACCTGACCGTGCCTGATGCTCCTGACTCCACGCCTCTGGAGGGCAGGCCACGTCTGGCTCGGCCACCTCTACCTCCCCTACAGCACCTGTGACCGGCCGTGGCTCAGCAGGTGCTGTGCTGTGGCGTGAGCTGGGTTTGCTGAAGTCCGAGATGACCCAGCCACGCCAATCCCACCCTGGCCGGGCCATCTGGACGGGCAGATGCTTGATGGAAACTGGGAGCCCTTCCTGAAAACGTCTGCCCTCTGCCCACGGTGTGTCGGAAGTGTGGGAGCGGGCTCTCCAGGGTCTGGAGGGTTCTTTCCATTTCCAAAGCCTCTGTCAGAATGCAGGTGACGTGCTGAAGTGTGTCAGGCTCATCACCCAGCCCAGCAGCGGGGGGAGCGGTGCGTGGGGGCCCTGGGAGGGGGGCGTCCTGGAGGACACAGGTGGCTGGAGGGAGCTGGACTCCCAGAAGAGCCTCAGTCCTTCGGGCCCCCGCACAGGACAGGCTGGGCCCCCAGACGGGGCAGGGCCGGCCTCTCCCCCTTGGCAGGAGGGCCCGGGGCTCAGGAAGGTCCAGCCCGTGGCCACAGTCTGGTGGCGGGTCCAGGCAGAGCTGGAGCTCAAGCCAAGTCTATGCCCACGATTTCCGCTCCCTCAGCACAGAACAAGAACTCCTCCGGCCCAGGGGTCCAGTCCGCTGGGGCTGCCACACTGCGACCCGGCTGGCTGTGCCGGCCTCCCTCCCTCCCCATCCCGTCTGGGTGGGTGGGTCCGTGCACCCTGCAGACACGCAGTTGTCACCTTTACCCTCTGCCCCGGGCACTGCCCCCAACTGTTTTCCCACAGAGGCCTGGTGGCGCCCACAAATCCGTGGGGTCTGCCTCGTTCAGCTCCTGCTGCTCAGCTCCTCACACCGGAGCCGGTCCCCTGGGCGACGGAGTAGGTGTCGAGAAAAGGAAGACACCCCAAGGCCTGTCCCGAGAGGCCCGCTGCCTTGCCCCCATCGGCAGCAACCCAGCTTAGAAGGTGCCCGAATGACCCCAAGTCCACTGTGCGTGATGTGGTCACCGCTCGAGCGCCTTCCTTGGGGGAGCTGCCCTGCAGGGGACTGACTTGAGTGACAGCTGCGCGGCCAGTGGGAGCTCAGAACGGCCGCTGCAGCTCCGGGACCTGAGGTTCCTGCTGTGTGTGCACAGCCTCTGCCTGGGACACGCCAGCCCAGGTTCAAGCGGCCGGACCCGGGGGTGTCTGACTGTCCTCCTGCAGGAATCCGCCCTGCTGGCCTCCTGGAGCGGACGCCTCAATGGGTCGGCCGCCTTGAGATTCCCGGTGGTGTCTGCATCTCTGAACCAGTGCCGACGAGCTACACACTTGTCACAGGTGAACGCTCCGTCTGGACCCGCGTCGGCACCGAAACGCTCCGTCTGGACCCGCGTCGGCACCGAAACGCTCCGTCTGGACCCGCGTCGGCACCGAAACGCTCCATCTGGACCTGCGTCGGCACCGAAACGCGGTCTCTGTCCTGTTTGCTTCAGTCGCAGCCGGTGGCCTGGCAGCTGAGGGCCTGTGTCTCGCTCTGAGCTCCCTGTGGTTAGTCTGTGCTGTCGGGCTCAGGCGGGAGCGGCGGACGGATGCAGATGCCGAGTCCCACTGCTGCGGCCGTCGTTCACAGAGCTGCCCAGGCGCGGCCAGGGGCCCGGATCCTGGAATCGGGGCCGAGGGCTGGGCTGACGCCTGGCCAGGCCCCGTGGCGGCCCGTGTGGTGGCACCGCCCAGCTCGGCCTTCAGAGGACGGGCACGCTCCTCCCGAGCCCAGTGCCCTGTCTGCAGAGCAGTGAGTCCCCTGGTGGAACACAGCACAGGACAACGGACCGGCCCCTGGTGACTATGTGGAGCCCGGAGGCAGATCCTTTGGGAGCGAAAGGGCCTGCGGGCTGCAGCCGGCCCCTCCTCTTTCCCGGGCTCCCGGCGTGCATGGGGCCCTGGCCTCCAGGGCAGGCGGGAGCCCAGCCATCGCTCTGTTGTCATCCGAACCCCAGCCGTCTGGTGAAGCTGGCTTACAGGGCGCCACCCTGGTGACCCTCCAGTCTCACCGAAAATGTCTGGTGAGCACCTTTCCGGGCTCCTCCCATCTCTCCGAGAAGCTGTCGTCAGCGACAGGAAGTGAGTGGTCACCAGTCAGTCAGCGCGAAGCTGAGGGACCCAGCTGTCTGCTGCCTGCGCTCCCGGAGGTCACCCAGGGCACATCACTGGGGGGGCCAGGCCCTGGCTACACCCACGCTGAGCCGGCGCCCCTGCCTCCTCCCCCAGCACCTCCAGCTCCCCCAGGCAGGCGTGTACATGGTCCCCAGAAGGTGGTCCTCAGGGGGCTTCGGCAGCTGGGGCGCTCCCCAGCTCGGCCTTCTCGCGCCGCATGTTCACCCCGAGCTAGGCCACAGCCGCACCCAGAGCCTCGCCTGGTGCCTGCCGTTCCGGCCCTTCCTGGAGAAGCCCTCCAGCCCTCTCCCGTGCGGCCGAGCGCACCCGGCAAGACACGGCCTCTCCGCGGCCTCGGTGGGTCCGGACCACTGCGCTGCTCCTGTCACTCGGCCCTGCGTCCCCTCCCTCCCGCTGGGCCCAGCCTCGCAGCCGGCACCCTCTCGCACACCCCACCACCTGAGGGGTCTCTGATGCCCACACAGGCTGTCCTCTTGACCCCGCGCTCACACGGCCAGCCTGGGCGGACCTCCCCGCACCGAGGCTCTCGCCGACCCCGGGCCCCACACCTTGGCCCGGCTGTGGGCACGGCCTCCCCGCTCCCGGCTGCAGCCCATCGGCCTCAGGAACTTCCCCGCTGGCCGAAGCTTTGCCCTGGCCCTGGCCAGCTGCAGCCCTGCTCTGACCCGACCCGCACCTCAGCGGGGCCGGCCCCGGGGAGGCCTCCCTGGCAGCTGTGCATCTGTCACTCTGTCCTCGGCGCCTCACTGTCAGCAAACACACCCGGACTGGGACAAGGCCGAGGGCAGCGTGACCTCGCAGGACACGCAGAGCGTGAGCCGTGCAGCGAGCTCATCGCGGAGGGAAGATGCCGCGCCGCTGGGCCTGTCCCCTGAAGACTGAAAACTCGGTCAGTGAGGACACGTGTGACCCTGCAGAGACTCCGCCTAGGGGTGACTTCTGCAGAAAGGAAAACCTGAAGTTATGAGTCCACTGCCCTGTAGGACACAGCAGGCGGGCGTGTGCATGCGGCCCTGCCCGCCACCCCACGCGGCCTGGACACTCGGTGCTCGGTGCTCTGGCACCTGGGCGACCTCCTGGAGTGAGCGCCAGTCCAGCATGTGCGACCAGGCCTCACTGTGGGCGTCAGGCCAGGACATTCCCTGCCAACTCGCAAGTCGGCCCTGCCCCGCCTCGGACCCCTGCTCAGGGCCAGCCCTGCCCTGCCTCAGACCCCTGCTCAGGGCCGGCCCTGCCCTGCCTCAGACCCCTGCTCAGACCCGGCCTTGCCCTGCCTCAGACCCCTGCCCGGGGCCGGCCTTGCCCTGCCTCGGACCCCTGCCCAGGGCTGGTCCTGCCCCGCCTCGGACCCCTGCCCGGGGCCAGCCTTGCCCCGCCTCGGACCCCTGCCCGGGGCCAGCCCTGCCCCGCCTCAGACCCCTGCCCGGGGCCGGTCCTGCCCCCCCCTCGGACCCCTGCCCGGGGCCAGCCTTGCCCCGCCTCGGACCCCTGCCCAGGGCCGGCCCTGCCCCGCCTCGGACCCCTGCCCAGGGCCGGCCCTGCCCCGCCTCGGACCCCTGCCCAGGGCCGGCCCTGCCCCGCCTCGGACGCCCGCCCAGGGCCGGCCTGCAGGCAGGTCCCACGATGCTGGGTGTGTGGAGGGGGAGCATGTGGGTTTCACGAGACCCCGGGAGAGCCTGGCCCTTACCTGCCACTGGATGAGGACAGAGGAGGTGGTGTGGGGCGTCACCGACACAGAACTTGGGGGCTCCCCTGGAACTGAAATCCAAGGCCAAAGACACAGGATTAGAGGTTCTATTGGCACATGCCCCTCACCCCGAGCTGGGAGGCTGACCAGCCCAACTCTTCCCCTCTTCCCTGTGGGCACCCCTCTCCCACCTCGCGGGCTGTGCGAGGGAAGGGACCCTGTCCTGAGGTGTGACTGGCCCCACAGACAGACCCACACCGAGACACCAAAGGTGTTCCTGCCTCTCCACTGGGGCCACCTATGCCAGCAGGGGTGCCAGGAGCCCCCCAGGCCTTCCCAGGGGTGCACGCCCTCCCTCGAGGGGACACCTCTTCTTTCTGAGGTACTTAGGTCAGAGCAATCTCTGAGCTGGACGGACGACCCAGCCAGGGCACAGAGCTCCTGGTCGTCAACGCTGATGTGACTGTCACTTCTGGTGGCCACACGTCCGGCTCAGCGGTGCTCTGCTCCTCTCGGGGGACACGGTCGGTCTAACCTCTGCCCAGGGCCATGCCCTCACCCTGGAAACTGAAATCCCCCAGGACCTGTCAGGCCCCTAAGCACCCCATGTCCTGGCCTCCCCTGTAAGGCCCTGAGACCTGACACAGAACTATTCAAAATCCATCACTGGCGGGATGATTCGGGGTGATGTCCCCAATCCCCCCACCAGCGTGCTCCCTGGGTCACCTGCTCCCTGAGTCTCCTCTGGACCCCCCGGGCCCTCCCATGGCCTGAGCCATGCCTGTGGCCCTCCGCCCGGGCCCTGGGCCTCCCGCGGGCCCAGGTCCGTCAGCAGTGAGCCCCATCCAGCTCTCCTGACACGGGGCGTCTCTGCATCCCAAGCACTGTACCAAGGACGTGTTTTAGCAAATGAGGGGAATCAGAGTCTGCCACCCCAAAATAGGCCTTTTTGGGATATTATTTTAAGCTAGTTGATTTTTTAGAAATGACCAACGCAGAAGTGCCTTTACCTCCCCCTTCCCTGCCCAGGCTCTGATAGAAGGTCCTGGACCGAGCAGACACGGGGCCCGCGGAGCCTGCCTGCTACACTCGCCCGGCCCCGCAGCTGCTGGGTCCGCAGCTTGCGCCTTCTCCTCCCCCGTGCACCGCCGCGCCCCGAACCCCGGTCTTAGCCGGGAACAGCTTGTCAGCCTCGCCGCCCGGTCTGTCCTCCGGGCCGGGTTCCGGAGCCCCGTACGTGTCAGGAGTGAATCTGGACATTTTCTCCTGTCCATCTGCCTCATGTCTGACTTGTAGATCAGCCAGAAGAACTTAGAGGGAAATCATATTTCCTCCTCCACACAGACTATCCTCACCCTCAAAGGGCTGCCTGTCCCCAACACCAGGCTCCCCAAGGCCTGGAGTCAGGCCCCGCCTGTCAATCTGATCGCTGGGCTGGAGACCAGGCAAAGCGGATCCAATGTGACCCTCCGCAAAGAGCAACTGCACCCCAGGAAAGGGAGGTACAAGAGGGGGTGCCCAAGAAGCGATCTGAATGTGCAGGGCTGGGAAAGGCCCCTGGGGCCGGAAGAGGTCTTCTATCCCTGCGTCGCTGACAACTCAAGGGTCCCGGAGCCTCTCCGCCGGCCCTTCAGCACACCTGAGGTCTGGTGCCGGAGAAGCCAGACTCCCAGGTCACTGAAAGGGCAGAATGAAGATGGGAGACCCGGGGAGCGGCGGAAGGAGGGCCTGTGTCAATCCGGGCCCTGGTGCACTCGGTGGAGGAGGCAGCACTTGAGGGAGGGCGGGGGGACGATCCCAAGCTTGGGGGTGAGCTGAGTGTGCAGGTCTGCAGCGGGGTCTGAGCCACGGTCCTCCTCCTCGTCCCGAGTGTCTGCCTGTGAGCCTGGCTGTGCTGGGATCTGCTGTCTCCCGCTCCCTCCGGCCTGGCAGCCCTAACTCGGCACACCTGCGGGCCGACCCCTCTGAGCAGGACGGGTGGGGGAAGCCTCCAGCCAGGAGCTTTTAGGAAGGGGTCTCAGGGCCACCACTTAGCGTCTGGAAAGTGGCCAGTCTGGGAAGGCCGCTGAACGAGAGACACGGGAATCCGGAGCGCAGCTCCCCGGGGATGTGGACTTTTAGCGACCCCGGGCATCACTCAGTCTCTGGGACGCCAATGGGCGGTAGGATTCGGAAGCCAATCGATGGAAGCTCCTTCCATCTCTAAGGCCTTCAAGTCCTGCTGCAGCGCCACAGGCTGCCAGGAGCCCTCCCTCCAGCTGCCTCTAACTGAACCCCACTGCCGCCCTGGGTCCCTCCAGTGACCCTTCCTGGCTCAGGACGAGAGTGGGGCCCCTCTGGGAGCCAGCGCTTCAGCCCAAAGGCAGCAGCCGGGAGTGGCCGCGTCTGTCTGCCCGCCAGGGCCCCAGCCTACTCACCTTCCTGCAGCGTGGTCACCGCCTCCGTCTCCGTGCTGAAGTCACTGTCCCCAATGTCGTTGGTGGCCTTCAGGCGCAGCTTATAGGAAGTGAAGGGCCTCAGCCTGGATGGACACGGAGGAGACCAGTGACCACCGGAGACCCCCGCCTCCCCGCCCAGAGCTCTGGGGAAGTCCTCCTGCCCGGGAGACTCAAGGCCTGCAGGGGAGAGGTCTTCCCAGAGTGGAGGGAGCGTCCTGGCCAGGGGACGAGGTTTGGCCCAGGGCTGCCTGGCGGTAACCAGCCCAATGGCGGACACTGCCTTGTGGCCACCTCTGCACCGAGGAGCAGGGGATGTCTTGGGCCCTCCCCGCCTGCCCTGCTCATGCAGAGGAGCACCTGCCTGCCTCCCCACTCTCTCCCCCAGCAACAGGCAGCTCCCCCCACCCTGGTCCCTGCCCAGGACTGAGCCTGGCACGGCGCCCAGCACTGGACAGTTTACCACATGCTTACCACACGGCACTCTCCCCAGCTCATGGGGAGGACACAGAGCCCAGCTAGGTCCCTGCCCACCACCCGGACCACACACAGCTCGTCTGGGCTGGAAAGGGGTCCTCTGGAAGCACGTTTGCGCTTTATGTGAGACCACGGTCATGTTACTGTCCACATGAGAGACGCCCACACCGATGACACCTCCGGGACCGGAGGGCCCCGAGCACTGTGTGCCTCTCCCGAGTCAAGCCCCCCAGCCACCCGGCATCCACTGGTCCCCTTGCTGAGCCCTCTGCCCGCCACACCCCAGCCCAGGACCGCAGACTGAGCAGAAGGTGCTCCAGTCTCCGCCCAGACGCAGAGCCCTGTGCAGCCTGGGGTCCTTCTCGTCTCCACAAGGGGGTGAGAACACCGCCCCGCCCCCCAGCGCAGCTCTGTCCTGGCAGCGCCTCCCCACCCGCCCGTCTCCCGGACCAGAGGAGACCCTAGGCTCTCCCTCCCGTCCCTCAAGTCCACCCCGCCTCTGAGGGTCCTCGACCACCAGCCAGGGGGTGTTCTCATCACCTCAAAACCAACCTCTCTTCTCACTCCCAACCCAACCCGTAAACTGGTGGTTTCTGAATGGAGCCTGGTGGACCCCGAGAGGCTGAGGCCTCGGGGACCCAGGCCCGACCCTGCCCCCGCCAGCAGCTCCGCTTCCCTCTGGGGACACTGTGTTCAGAGGGAGAGTTCTGCTTCGTGAAGAGCTGATGACCATTCCGGACACCACGGGCAGAACACCCCCGTTTCCATTCTGCCTCCTGCTCATGACCGGCTGACACCTCGGGGGGTGCTCTCCCCCCAAGCCCTCCAGAGCCCGCTGCGCTGTCGCCTGCCAGCCCTCGGCGGCCCCGAGCCCCTGCACCCCGAGTCCACCACCAGGAGGCGCAGTGCGGGGCCGCCTGGCCTTGGCTGGGCTCTACTGGACAGGCTTCTAAAGTCCACCCTGAGGAACGGTGTCTGCGGCGGGATCGGGGGGATCCTTTATTAACTTAAAACGCAGCAACTCCCCATCTGCTCCTGGCTGCCCAGAAGTCCATCTGATTTTGGTCATAGCCGCGGTCCTTTCTCTGTGACCCCTTACGTCTGAGAAGGCAGTCCGACTCCCAGCTGACCTTGCAGGTGCGCTGCCTCGGTTTCCTCGTCTGGGCTGACGAGAGCCCGTGGGCCGTGAGGCTGGTGCTCAGGGCAGAGGGTGCCGGGGGGGGGGGGGCACCAGACACGGGCTGCTGGCACCCGTCACTCAGGATCTGTGTAACGGGCAGGGTGAGCGCCGGCCAGCAGCTGTCCACCACCGCCCGTGCCTCTCCCCTTCCACACGGTCTGTCCTTGTTCCCGCCACGGCTGTCTGGCTTCTTGACGAGACTCAGGACTCGGTGGGCACAGGGCCACGTGGCCTCGGTGGCTGCCGACCCCCAACACCGAGAACACAGGAGCGAGCCCACAGGATGGACTTCCCAAGGCCACGCGGCCGCTAGGGACTAGAGGGGAGCAGAGAGCATGGTGTTCAGATGCGAACACAGAGCTTCTCACGACACCGCAGACCTCGCTCGTAAATGAGCTGTGCGGTGCTTGTGGCCACAGAGCTCGGCTGCAGGCCCGGGGACCTCGGAGCTGCACGGAATCTAAGGGCTCCCTCCAACACCTGGAGAAGCTGAGGCACAGCACATGCCTCACTCAGGACATTTCTGCCTCAACTTCCCACCTGCCAGATGGAGCAGAGAGCCTGGTCTGTGCGAACCTCCGTGGCTATCAGACATCACGGAATAGCGCACGGACCCGGGAAAATGCCGGAATGCTGTGCCTGCTGAGATGGCAATGGCTACGAGCAAGGTGATGACGATGATGACGCAATCAGACGCCACAGAGTGCGTCAACCATCCGGTGCTACCTGACGAGGTCGCTGTGGAAAACCTCTGCTGAGCGTCGACACTGACCCATCCAGTCCCACTCCTCCGGCGGAGAGTCACTACAGGTACAGTGACCGTAACTGGCATTCTAAATGCCAACGGCCACGGATGTATCTGAACAAAGGTCCCCTTTCAGACGGAGGCCAGGCAGTGATGCTGGCTCTGTGGGAAATGACACCTGGGCTTGGGGACCACTTTCAGGCAGAGCCTGGGGCTTCCTGGACCATGCAACGGGGCGGGGGGAGGGGGGGGACCATGTCACCGTGCCTCAGCCTGTCCTTTGGGGCCCTGGGCAGCTGTGGCTCTGAGCTGATGAGCCACCTCCTACTTGGCCTGTCACCAGCTCTGCAGGCCACCTCTGAACCAAGAGGACCCTTTGTCTGGGAGCAGAAGCCCTGATGCCTGTGTGATCCGCCTGGTGCTGCTCATGGGCCGACGCCCAGTCAGGACACACACTCAACACTCGGGCGTGCCCCCGGCGGGCAGACAGTGAGGATGGGGCACCGATGGCCGTCCCCGCGCAGGGCTCACGCTGAGAGGAGCCTTGCATTGTCTCCAGGCCACGCAACAAGCAAAAGGCAAACGACAAGACTCCCACATGCTCCCTTCAGCCCCAGATAACCCACAGGGCAAATGGTGGGAAGCAGGCCTCAGCCTGGAGAGTTGACTTCAGAACCTCCATCTTCCCTGACCCCCCAAGACCTCCTCGTACACACACTTCCCTGAACCCTAAGACCTCCACATACACACACTTCCCTGACTCCCAAGACCTCTACGTACACACACTTCCCTGACCCCCCAAGACCTCCACGTACACACACTTCCCTGACCCCCAAGACCTCCTCGTACACACACTTCCCTGACCCCCAAGACCTCCACGTACACACACTTCCCTGACCCCCAAGACCTCCTCGTACACACACTTCCCTGACCCCCCAAGACTCCTCGTACACACACTTCCCTGACCCCCCAAGACCTCCACGTACACACACTTCCCTGACCCCCCAAGACCTCCTCGTACACACACTTCCCTGACCCCCCAAGACCTCCTCGTACACACACTTCCCTGACCCCCAAGACCTCCACGTACACACACTTCCCTGACCCCCCAAGACCTCCTCGTACACACACTTCCCTGACCCCCAAGACCTCCACGTACACACACTTCCCTGACCCCCCGAGACCTCCACGTACACACACTTCCCTGACCCCCCGAGACCTCCACGTACACACACTTCCCTGACCCCCCGAGACCTCCACGTACACACACTTCCCTGGCCCCCCGAGACCTCCTCGTACATACACTTCCCTGACCCCCCGAGACCTCCTCGTACACACACTTCCCTGACCCCCCGAGACCTCCTCGTACACACACTTCCCTGGCCCCCCGAGACCTCCACGTACACACACTTCCCTGACCCCCCAAGACCTCCATGTACACACACTTCCGCCCTCACTCCAGGGAGGGAGGTCCTTTTCCTTTTAAAGCCCAGGACACAGCGACAGAGACACCCTCCAGCCTGGCCTGAGTCCAAAGCCTGCACTGAGCTGGGGGTGCAGGAAAGCTGCCCCAGGAGCCCCTCTGATCTGCAGAGTGGGGGAGCCCAGCGGGCAGCCGTGCAGAGGAGGAGCCTGGGGGCACCCTCAGGGCCTGGCACCTGCTCCCTGCTGGCCGTGCCCAGACCGCAGGCAAAGTGCTGGTTTCTGACGGGCATTTCTCATCTGCACTAGGAGGACCTCCCCTCGCGGCGGGGCCACGGTGGAGTCAGTGAGCCGACCCGTGTGAAATGTCCTAGCACAGCGGTGGCTTTAGAATGTGCTGGGGTCAGAGCAGACAGGAGCCCTGGCGTGTCGGGACCACGCCCCCCCCTCCCCCAGCCAGGCGTGGGCCAGGGGTCTGGACCCAGGGTGGGCCTCCTCCCGCCCCAGCCAGGCGTGGGCGAGAAGTCTGGAACCCACGGTGGGCCTCCCCCGCCCCAGCCAGGCGTGGGCCAGGGGTCTGGACCCAGGGTGGGGGCCACTCCTAGCAGCCCCACCCATACCCAGAGCCGGAGGAGCCCCGTGGGGATGGGCCGAGGTCACGCCTTGGAGCCGCGGGGAGTCTGCGGTCTGCACTGTGGCCACCTTCCCGCTCGCAGCCTCAGTCTCCCGGCTGTGAGGGGGCTGGGGCTGGGGCTGGATGAGTGAGGTCCTGCAGGCTCAGTGCCCGAGGTGATGCCAGCCCGTCCCCCTCCCTCCTGCCCCAGTTTCCAAGGAACTGAGTGAGTGGTGGGTCATCTTGCTCAAGGGGACTGGGGGGGGGGGCACCCGCTGTTTCCCTGCCGACAGCACTGACAGCGACAGCACTGGGTGAAGCCCGTCTGCCCGGCGGCCTGGACAGAGCACAGAGGGACGTCTCTGCGGGGGTGATGTCTGCGGCGGGTCCACCCTCCCCAACACCTGCCTCTTAGGGCACCCTGCTTCCGGGCTCACCGGCCCCGTCACTACGCTGGGTCAGTCCTGGGGCCCAACAGGACAGACCTGGGGTCGGGGGGGCTGGGGGCCTCGGAGCAGTGGGTGCCCAGGACACAGAAATCCCGGGCCCCTGGTGCGAGGGGTGTGGACTAGGAGAGACGAGCTCTCAGCGGTGCGTCTCCACAGACCGTCCAGACTCCCTTCTCTGAGGGCTTGGCTGCAGGAGGGCAGGTGGGCACCAGGTCCTGGGGGAGGGTCCCCCGCGGGCTCTCGGTACCTTTCGATGGCACAGGCTGTGGCCTCGTGGCTGACGGACGAGGAGTAGGTGTGCCACTGTCCCCTGGGCAGCTCCCGCACCTGCACGGTGAAGTAGCGGATGGGCGAGGCCCCGTCGCTGCCCGGGACCCACTGGAGCCGGAGGCTGCGAGCCGTCACTTCTGTCTGGGGCACCAGCAGCTCTCTGGGGGGCGCTGGCCGCTCTGCAACCGAATGAGGACAGACCAGGGACCGTGAGAACTGCTCTCCCGGGGGCCCCGAGGCCGCCCGCACGGGCGTGGCCACCGCAGGTGCTCCTGGTCACAGCCAGGTGGCGTTCCCTCACAGACACGTTGGCGAGTGCCCAGCTCGGCCCTGCTCTGCCTCAGAGCAGAGACAGACAGACGGACAGTGGTGAGCCGGCCGCGGGGCTCCCGGGTCTCCCCAGCGTCTCTGAGGGACACCAGGGCTCCCCAGCCCTCAGGTCCCTCTGGACTCTCTTCCTTCCTGAGTTTGGGCTCAGTGTGTCTTCAACACCCAGTTCCCATGACTGGTCCTCCCGGAGCCTCGTCCGAGGGTGCGGAGCCCCGTTCCTCCCGGGGGAGGCCAGGTGGGCCCTGGACCTGTCCTGCGGGGTGCGGGCTGTCCGCTGCCCTGTCTCCTCCTCCCATCGACTCCAACAGGGAAGCTCCAGGGGAGAAGCAACTGCTCAACTGCTATCATGAGGTTACCGTTCTGACAGACGGGGGCCTACGAGCGCGCCGTGGTGATTGCCGTGGTGACGGGCGGTGAGGACTCTTCATGTGACGTGGTCAGCGCTCCTGTCCCAGCACACAGGGCGCAGGACTCAGCCCCAGCAGCACCGGGCGCCTCCTTCCCAGACGTGGGTGTGGGTGTGGGGAGAGGTGAGGGCAGGCACAGCCCGGTCCCTCCACGGGGACCACGGGGGGACCCCCGCAGTGGACATGGCGAGCTCACGCTGCACAGGGCCTGCCGCCAGTGCTCACAGAAAGCAAATGGTGTGGCCCCAGCTGGGGGCCCAGTTGGCTGGAGTGTCGCCCTGGACACCAAAAAGGTTGCAGGTTTGATTCCCAGGCTGGGCACACACCTAGGTTGCGGGTTCAATCCCGGATGGGGTGCCTACAGGCGGCAACCAATTGATGTTTCTCTCTCTCTCAAATCCATAAAAACAAACCCTCAGGCGAGGACTGAAAAAACAAAGCACACAAATGGCGAGGACGCACAGGACGCTGAGAACAGACATTCCTGAGATGCCGGACAGCGCCGTGCGCGGGGCGCAGGGGCCCTTCTCCTGTCCGCGGGGCACCCCGGAAGCTCTGGCTCCTGGGACTTCAAGGCTTCGGTTCCCTAATTCGTAGCAGAGGCCACGGCCACCAGGGAGCGGGAGCAGAAACAAAGCTGTGACTGACGGCCCCTGTGGCTCTGGGGCGTGTCTGCGTCAGCATGGCCGGCGTGGTGGGCCGTCCCTGGGGATAACAGGGCCCGCGGAGGCCAAAGGACCAGACCCTTTCCTGGAAGCTGGAGCCACCGGGAGATCCAAGCCACGGGAAGGGAAGCCAGCCTCCCGTGCTGGCCACAGAAGGTCAGCGCTGTGTGGGGCCACCACACCAGCCTGTGGGAGCGGCCACATGCATGCCTCCTCTCTCTCAACCGTGTAGGGCAGACGCCGCCCACCGGGGGACATGGTCCGGGGGACTTCCAGGAGGCGGGACACAGCTGGGGCAGGGATGAGCTGGGAGAGGGAGTAGGGGCATGAGGGGCCTGGGGCTGGACGGCAGAGGCTTGTGGCTGGTCAGGGAACCGGCTGTGTCACTGGGCACCGGTAGGCGCTGTGCAGGGGCCTGTAGCCTGGTGGTCCAGTCCCAGCTTGGGACCTGCAGGGGTGCTGCCTCCTTTGGGGTGCTGTCTTCTCGGATGTGCAGGCTACTTTCAAAGCCTCCCGCTCTGCTCCACGGGCCTCTCTTGTGGATTCCAGGTGAGGGGCCAGTGGTCGGCCGTGCGGGGCCACAGCAGGCCTTGCCCAGACAGCCTGCCCTTGAAGCTGCGAGGCCACCAGGTGGCCGCTGCACCGCGAGACGGTCCCCTGGCCAGGCACCCGCGTGCTCCTCCCAGCACCTCAGCGCCCGTGAGCAACGCTTCCCAGGCGGCCGGGCGCAGTGACGGCTCCGCTCACGTCCTCCCGCATTTCTGGCCTGAAGATGGGCGCTCGGGCCCTGTGGCTCCGTCCCTGAGTCTGCCCACTGGCCTTGCGATGAAGCGACCCCGAGGCCTCAGGGACCACAGCTCCCACGCACCGAGCACACTCTGCCCCGGGAGAATCACGACAGCGTTGCCGCTCAGGGGCACACGCCGGGGTCCCAGGTCGAGCCGGGGCAGAGGGGAGGACTCTTCCTCAGGGCCCACAGCTCTGGCTGGGCGCTCAGGGACCCTCAGAGGGAGGAGCACAGGTCAGCTGAGTGCTCCCTCGGCTGCGCCTACAGGCTCCTTCTGTCATCACTGTCCCCAGGACTCTGGGACCGGGCACAGCCTGGAGTCCTTGAGTCCAAAGCTGCTATGTCCGCACAGCACGGGCCTGCAGGAGGAGCTGAGGGTGGAGCCCGTGGCACAGCCCTGTGGGAAGAGCCAGCCGGGGCCATCGGGGGCAGTCACCTCCTGCCCGCAGCTGTGTGCCCGGGTGTCGGCTTCCGCTCACGTGGACCTGGAGCTCAGGCCGATCCCCCGGGCTTCAGGGACACTACAGCAGGATGACGTGCCCAGCACTCACCAGTGCCGGGAGCCAGGTGTCCCCAAACACAGCTCTCCGCGGCCGCCCGGTGCGGAACGTGTGGTGAGCGCCTGCTCACCTGGGCAGTGGTTTTGGACAGCAGAGACCTGCGACTGCCTCCGGGGAGCCGGCCCTCAGGCAGGAGGCTCTGCAGCCCCGGGCAGTCACAGCCCTGCTGAGCAGCGTCTCTCCCTGACCCCTGGGCAGTCAGGCCTGTCTGAGGGCCAGGTGTGTGGCACGGGTCGCTGGCGGACACGCTGCGGTGGGTGTGCCCAGTCCCAGGCAGGTGCCCAGTCCCGGGCACACCTGCCACCCGCGTGCAGGCCACCCAGGGCTGAGGCAGCCTCGTGCCTGCCCAGCTCACAGCCCGCTTCTCCCACCGGCCTCACCTCTCTTCTCGGTGGTGATGACGGTGGCCTCCAGGGGCTCCCCCCAGCCCTGCCGCGTCTTGGCGGACAGCCTGAAGACGTAGGCCGACTCCGGGGCCAGCTCCGTGGCTGTGAACTGCCTGACGGTGGCCCCGACCTCCACGGTGGTGAACATGTTGGGGCTGCTGCTGGCCAGGCGGTAGGCGATCTGGTACCCTGTGGGCGGGCACGGAGGGCGTGGTCAGTCCTCGGGCACCCAGGGAGGGCCCGTCCCACCACCCACAACCGCATCTGCGGAAACCGCAGCCCTGTTCTCTCCGGGCTCCCTCCTCCCCGCGCCGCACCTGGGGCAGGCCTGCCACCATGGAGGGGTAGTCTCAGCCCACGATGAACGGGCCGCTGGGTGCCAGTGCCCACACGTTGCGTCTCCTCCTCCTTCGCGGGAGCAAGACGTGACAACAGCCCATCCTCCCTGTGGCCACTGGCTGGGCATCGCTGCACGGGGGCAGTGAGCCTTCCTGACGGGCAGGGCCTGAGCTCGCTGCTCTGTTCTCCCCGCAGCCCCTGCTGCCATCTGCCCTTCCCCTCACCTGGCCACGGGCAGCGCCTGTTAGCGCACTCTTTAAACCGAGCCCTCTCCAGCCGTGGCCGTGGGCCGTGGGGCAGGCGGCCAGCTGAGCAGCAGCCTCCCATCTGTCAGAGCCCCTCCTTCTCATCTCCTGTCTGCCTCAGACCTCAGCTCCCAGGGCTCCGCTCCCCCCCACTCTGCTCCCGCTGCCCCCAGGCAGCCCCTCCCGGAGGCTGAGCTGCGGCTCCCCCTCCAGCCCCCCTCCAGACCCGGAAGCTGGGGGGAGCTGTGAATCAGTGCTGGGAGGGCCGAGGGCTGCAAACATCCGGCCACCAGGCCAGTGGCTGACCGGCGTCTTTAACCATCAAGTCCCACACCAGCCCCCCGAGGCCCCGCCCGGCCCACGCAGCTCGCCAGCCGCCTTTGCGCACAGTCAGCCTCGGTCCAGCGGCGGCAGTCCTGCTGACTCAAAGCGGAGCAGGTGGGTGCTGTGTGTCCACCTTAGTGAGGGCCAGACCATCCGAGTGAAACAGGGCTGGGCCGGGAGCTGGGCCGGCAGAGCTGACCGCGTCCTCAGGTGGTCCCTGGCTCATCCCACACGGCTTGCTGCCTGCCCCCCTCGGCTCCCGTCTTCCTGCTCGCGACCTGCTCAGTGGTGGCTGAGCTCACCGCATCCTCCCAGCTCCTGCTCTGGTCATCTGTCCAGCGATGAGGAGCCTCCCCGACCCGCCGTGCGGGAGGCCAGGACGACAGGTCCATGGCTCGCATTCAGCCCTCACCACCGCTGGTCATTTCTGTCACCACACACACTGGGAGGCAGCATGGTGACCACCACTTGCTGACAGGTGTCTGCAGGACCCTGGACTTTGGCCCCTGAATGACCCCTGCGGCTGCTGCTCTGCCCCCAATGGACGGTCTCTTCTCCCTGCTGGGGGGACCGCTGTCCCTGGGTTCTGGGTGTGGCCCAGCTGGCCTTGGCCGCCTGACGTCCGTGCTCCCCATTCATGGGCATCCCTGCGCCGCGTGGTGAGCCCGTGCGGACACACGGCGTGTCTCCAGGCACACGGGCGGCTGTGCGTCCACTCTCGGCGTGTGCGGTCCCGTCTCCATGGCCGCCTTTGCTGTCAGCGGGCTTCCCCCTGGTTCTGAGGTTTACCCTCTGGCTCTGGTTTTTCTGGGACTCAACCCAAGAGCTACAGTGGGGGCGGCTTCTGCTCCTCCGGTCCTTCCGCAGGGAGCACCGAGGCCTCCCGACAAAGATGGCGAGGTCAGCACGCCCCTGCCGGCCTTCTCGGCCGCACTCGGGACTGGTTGGAGCGTGGCTTTTGTTCCTTCTGAGCGTCAGCCTTCGTGCTTTCAAATACTCTGCACCTCCGCCCGCTCGCGGATGTGTTAGCTCTGGATCCGCCCCGGACCCTCATCCCGGACCCCGCCTCGGACACTCACCCCAGACGCTCACCCCCGGAACCCGCCCCAGATGCTCACCCCCGGGCCCTGCCTCGGACCTCACCCCTGGGCCCCGCCTCAGACGTTCACCTCCGGGCCCCGCCTCGGACCTCACCCCCGGGCCCCGCCTCCGACCTCACCCCCGGGTCCCGCCCCAGACCCTCGCCCCCGGGCCCACCCAGGTGAGCATCATTTCCAGTGCCCACGAGGGGCCAGCCCTCCCCAGAGAAGCTGGAAGTGAGGGTAGAAACGGCACGAATGGAGCCCCTTCGAGAGGGGACCGGAGCTGCCGGCCCAGAGGAACGGCCCTGCTTGGCTTAGGCCTCAAACCTGTGGGTGTAAAGCCAGAGCCACCTTTGGATGCGTCCAAAGCAACACTGTGTCCCACAGAACTGCCTGCAAAGACACGAGGAAGCAGAGAGGACGAGGGGCTGAAATGTAGAACGCGGTGTAGAACTAGGGTCGTTACTCCAGCTGACCTGCACCAACAGAAACCCTCCTCCCGTGGACGAAACCGTCCCTTCTCCTGACCACTGGCCATCGGAACACTGTGGGCTTCTGCCGAAACAGTGCGTCCAGACGGCGGTTCTCACTGATGGAAGACGTGCTGCCTGCCTCTCATGGAGGGCCTTTCATTTTTAGGGGAGAGTCTGCATTGAACACCGACGAGGGCATGTGCGTGGGGCCCCGCCCTGAGTTCCTGGGTGGGGGTCTGAGCAGGCTCCTGCCGTGAGAAGCCTGTGCTAAGGTAGCGGGAGCGGAAGGCCCCGGCGGGAACGTTCCCTCAGCGCCCGTGAGCGTGGAGGCTGCCCCAGCGCAGCGTGCATGGCCTCCCGGACCCCCGCCGGCCAGGCCTTCCTCCGTCCTCCGCCTGGTGGAGGGTGCTGTGTGTGACAGACTCCTCGCCAGTCCCGGTGGCCTTTCACCGTAAGTCCGAGCTGACGAGGACTCACACACGGCACGGCGAGGGCTCCACCTGTGCTTTTTCGACGGCTTGTCCTCCATCACGTTTCGTCTCTGCTCAGGTTGTTCTGCTGCTACGGCGAAGCGTCCTGTGGTGAGCGGAGGTTTTGCTCAAAGGCACATCTTCGTGGATCTCAGGACTGGGGAGCAATAGCAACCGGTCTCTTTCCCAGCCTCGAGGGCTTGGGTCCCCTTTCTCCCGACGGCGCCCCTCCCAACTTGTCCACCCTGCACACCCCAGAGTGACCCTGGACCTTGCTCACACCCCCACGTGACCCCGCGCTCACTGCCTTCCCTGGTTTTACTCTAAACACAGGTTTCTTCTGCTATCTCCTCGCCACGTGTGGGAAGCACCCGTTCCTTCAGACGTGAGTTGTATACGCCGTATGTTCCCTGGCGTGGACCTGCCACTCGGGGTGCCGTCAGGGCTGAGTGGAACAAGGGTGTCTGCGGCAGGGCGGCCCTGCGTCCCTCCGACCTTTAGCTCCTGCCCCGTCCACTCGGCAGAGCCACGGCCACGACGCTGTGCCCGTGTATGAAATGACAGAGCACACGTCGCCTGGGCCGGGTGCAGGGTGGGACCCAGGCCCCACAGAGCCCGGGAGGGGGGCCTCAGCCATGGTTATATCCATACCCGCCTCGCATTCGCCCTAAAATAAGAACATTCTCCTGTCCCCATCCTGCAGTCTGTTGCATATCAAGATTAACACCTCGCTTACGCTGACACGTTTTAACGTCCGCCCTTGGAGGATGGGAGGGGCGGCCGTGTCTGCACACGAATGGCAAAGGCAGCCGCGGGCTCGCGCGCTTTAGAGAAGGCCCCCCGGCTGAGAGGAGAGCGGGGACAGGCCAGAGGGCGGCCGATCCCATTCCCCAGGCGGGAGGCCGGAGACGGCGCAGGTGAGGGCGGAGCGAGGCTGAGTCCTCTGTGGGAGTGAAATGCAGCCCGGAGTCCAACGTCACGGTGAACTGTGGTCACACAGGCACTGAGGCGCGAGGCCTGTCCAGGCGACACTGATCCAAGGCGGTTCTGACGGGCCCAGGAGGCGGAAGACACACAGCCCTCTGGGGAATTGGAATCTGGGCGGGGTGTGGGCTTCAAGCAGGAGACAAGCCCCAGAGCCACCGCTGAGATGCAAACAGGAAGAGGCCAAGGCCGACTGAGGTCTGGGGCGGGTCTCCGGGCCTCGGGCCTCGGGCGGGCGTCCTGACTGCAGCCCGGCACCCAGAACCGCCGTGGGGAGTCGGTGCAGGTGCTGCAGGCGGCGGTGAGCCTTTCATGGGCTGCTTCCTGGGCAGACCACAGGCTTCGGTCTGCGAGCGTCTGTTCTGTGCCAGCACAGGGCGCGGTACCCGCTGTGGTGGGTGAGTGGTGACGGCCCAGTGCCCATTCGCAGCTCAGGGCACCCCCAGAGGTGAGGCCCCCGGGAGGCCTGCATCAGCCCACCCCGGTGCCGTGTGTCCTATTTCGCAGCGTGTCCACCTGGCGGGGAGCGGACAGTGTGGCCACGGCTCTGCCCGTGCGCTCGCAGACACGAGTCACGGCCGCCGAGCTCCTGGCTCTCCGCAGAGCCCTGGCACCCGTCCGCAGTGAGCCAGGGTAAGTGCTAGGCGCTCGGTGGGCAGGGGGTAGGAGCTTCGGGCGGGTTTGGGGGGTTCGAGGAGCACACACTTCCTTCAGCTCAGTGGCATTTAAGGGAGTCGCTGCAAGTGAGGGAGGGACACGGGGCTCCGCAGGGAGGCTGCGCCACAGCCCCAGAGGAAGGCGCTGGGGTGCTAGTCTCCGTAGTGAAATATTTATGCAAACAGGCAGTGTTTTCCCTGTCGGCAGCTGCGGTGCGCGTGGCTAATCTCTCCTGGAGATGCGAGAGCACGTTCCAGTCTAGACGGCAGCCCTGCACCTCCTCCGCGTGCGTGGACCCCAGAGGCGCCCCCAGAGCTGTGATTCGAGGCCTTCGGGTGTAAACGAGCCTTGTTTTCCTCTCTGCTCCGTGAACCCCGATCTGAGTCTTTGGAAAGGGTTCCCCAGCTCTCCTGCCGCATCTGCAATTCGGCGAGCTGCAATGCCATCCAGGCGACAGGCGACCCACAGCGTCCGTTTGGCTGCCAGCGGCCGCCATCACCCAGAGGAGGCTCAGAGGGAACGTCCCGGCATGACAGGTGTGGGGGGCATGGCGCGGTTTGACTCGGCGTCTGTCTGCCATGGCTGGAGGCTCAGTCTCCCGTGCTACCTCCTTTTCTGAGGTTTTGTGATTTTCAATGACCTCCCAGGGATTAGACCAAAACGCAAACCTCTAAACACAACTGGGGCCCTATCAGCTGGCCCCAGACTGCCTGTGTAGGCTTTGCTTCCGTCTCCTCAGCATGAACCCTGTCCCAGCAACCAGGGCGATGGGGCCGCCCCTGCAGCACCACCAGAGATCAGCGGGCAAACGCTAGCGCAACCAAGCCTCGCGGTGACCCGGACGTCCCCCTGGAGCTGAGCGGCCACGACCTGGAGCGAATGCTCACTGAGCGGTTCGGATGCAGCACTGCCCAGGGCCCCTGTAGGCTCCTGGAACCCAGGAGGGACCTGCAGCGCGGCTCCGCGGAGGGAGGGCACTGAGGCTCAGAGGGCAGAGTCACGGCACAACTTCCCTCACCAAGACCAGGCCCCGGGCAGCGTGGCGGCTCTGCCCTCCGTCTGTCGGGACGCGGTGTTTGAAGCACGGGGGGACAAAAGCAGCTGTCCCTCCATGCTCCCCCGTGTCCACCCACCTTCCTCCTTCCAAGGCTCTGGAAGCCACTCACGGGAAGATCCGGCCCCAGACAGCCTTCCCTCCGCTGCCCCCACCCCCCCTGGGGCTGCTGCTGGCAGGGCGCTGGGGTCCCCCTCCCTGTTGCCTCTGGTGTGGCTGTGCCCCCGGCACACCCCCTTCACCCCCACCCGCCATGCACACGGTGCCTTAGTCTGTCACGGAGAGAGGGCGACTGGGTAAAGGGCCTGGTGATTTTTCAAGACAGAAGTTGCTTCCTTCAGGGAAGGGGAGGAACCCAGGCTGCGCAGCTGCTCCTCTGAATGGAGCAGAACAGTGGACCCTCCCTGCGACCTGAGGCTCGCGTTCCAGGCCCCACTTCTTCCAGGACAGGCCGCCCTGCGGCAGGGGTCGTCCCCGGGACTGCGGAGTGGAGCCCGGGTCCGGGTCTCCGTGGGAAACCGGCCACTGTTTTCCAAGCACACGTCAGAAGAGCCCGATCACGTCCGAGCTGGGGCAGGTGAGTGACAGACGGCACACTGTGAGCCTCCGACCAACGGAAGACACTCTGGGAGGACGTGGCGCAGCTCACAGACAGCAGGGGGCCACCACCTCTCGTCCTGTGTGCACAGAAGTCTGCGTGGCTGAGGCAGTGAACTCTGCTAAGTGTCCCTTTCCGGGGCGCCCTCCCCCTGCTGCCCCCTTACCCAGAATGACGCCGTTGGGCTCCTCTGGTGGCTGCCACACCGTCCGCACCGACGTGAGCCTCACTTCCGGGAACACCAGCCTCACCGGGGGGCCTGGGGCTGGGGGAGAGAAGCCACGTGAGCAGGTGCCTGTGATGTTCTCTGGGTCCGTGACAGGTCACGTACGACTGTGAATGGGCCAGATGCAGTCACTGCATGGTGACACTGTTCATGGGGAAACTCCATGTTTTGGGTGAATGACTTTGGGGTCTAAGGGGCTGTGTGTGTGGCCGGCTCCCTGATGATTCTGAGGAAAACAACCCATTTTCATCCAGCCGTCTGCTGCGCTGCGCTCGAACTGTGCCGGGAGTCATGTGAGCGGGGCTCACAGAGGCTGGCAGCCAGGTCACTAATGTCGCTGTGGCGTGTGCATCGAGGTGAGAGTCAGGGTGGGGGTGGGCGCCTGGGTGTTGGCGGGGCGGGCACAGGGCAGGGAAGGGCACTAGACTGCGGGTGGTGAGCTCGAAGGAGCGTGCACGGTGTTGGATTTCAGTCGTGGACGCCTGAAAATCAGAAAGTCACGATGCGGCCGCAGTGCATTTCATGATAGAAACACTTCACCCTCTGAGCTGATTTCTTTTCGGGACTTGACACCCGCCAAGCGGAGGTAAGGGGCCGGAAGTCCCTCCCCGCGGGGGGGGGGGGGCAGGCATGGAGGGAGTGCCATGGTCACAGTCGGCGGGGTCCGAGGGCCGAGCTGCCTTCCGGGCACCAGCAGGTCAGGGAGCTGTGGCCTGTGGGCAGGGTTCACTGAGCCGGCAGGCCACTGTGTGCGTGGCCAGACTCAAACTTCCTGGTGTCCTGATCGACTCCCGGTGGGGGCCGTGGGCACGGGGCGGTCAGTGTGCCCACTAGAACACCCTGATGTGTGTCTGTCATCCCAGGGCAGCCGGACTCCCGCCTGCCAGCCGTCTCGTGTGGCCCGGGGCTCCCTGCGCGGTCCCCAGGGGCGATCGTTTGGGTCCCACGGAGGGCACCATGTTTGTATTGGGGCAGCAGGGTTTGTAAAGGACAATCACTCTAGACTTGCTGACCTGGACGGGAGGAAGACACGCGTACGGCTGAGTTTGGGGAACAATTTCCGAAACGCCCCTTCTCATGCTGTGACCTGGACACAATAGAGCGTCATCCAGTTTTACAGAGAAACAGCCGCCAGGACACTCGTCGCCTCCTGTCTGCAGCTGCTGGACATGCTGCACTCTGGGAGGACGGACGGACGGATGGGCGGAGGGGCTGATGTCAGCGCCCTCCTCCGCTAGGCGTGGCCATGGCGCCACCTCTGGTGAGGTGCAGGGACAGCTGAGCAGACAGGACATCAGGGGCCTAATTCAGGGACTTGGGTGAAGATGCTTAAGACCTAGAGGATGGACTTCTCCTCCGCAGGACGCTGAGGACCCCTGGGTGGGCTTCGGGGAGGCCAGCCTTCCCCTCCGACAGTCATCCAGCGTACGTGCGATGAGAGGGAGCTACCCTTCAAGGGCTTGGCATCCGCAAAGTGGGCAGACGTATTTCCTGATGCGTTAGACTTCCGTAGACACAAGTGTCGCGAGGGTCCTGTTGTCCAGGTGGGGAAGGTGAGCGGGGTGCTGGGAGCCCCTAAGGTGCGTACTCTACTCACGAACTTCTAATGACCTCAGATTACACAAAGGACGGTCACGGGCACCAGGACCCCAGGCACATGGTCGGCAGTGGGTGTTTAACTGGATCTGTGCAGACACCCCCGGAACGGCCCGCTCGGGTGTACGGCCCGCCCGCAGCCCTCACTGCCTGCCTGCTGCAGTTACCACAGAAACTCTGCACAGGTTCGTAATTAGGCCGTAAAAATTCACTCCCGGCTGAAATTGGCCATATAAATGCTCAGTGAATGAGAGACAATTTTGTTCTGTTTTCCTCAACTGGAAAAAAAGTGGCTGGGAAATCAAGTTAAAAATGACAACTGCCCACATGGCCCGCTGGTCGAAGCTGACCTGGGAGAGGGGCAGAGGCGGGGCAGACACCTACCGTCGTCTTTGGTGCGCTCCAGGACGAGGGGCGAGCTGGGGACCCCGTTCCCGATGCGCGTGAACGCCAGCACCTGCAGCTCGTACACGGCGAATTTACGCAGCCCGGCCAGGAGCGCCGACTGGGTGTGGTTCCCGCGCACCACCTGGCTGCTGGGCTCAGGGTCCAGGTCCTTGGCCCGGAACAGGATCTGAAGCATCAACACACAAGCGGGTGGGCGTGAGGACCAGGGTGCCGGAAGGGGCCTGGGCAGGTACAGGGTGACCATGAGGCCAGGGCCAGCCCAATTGTACTACCCGCCCTGGGCAGCTGGGTTGAAGGCTTGTGGAGCGAATTGCTACCTGCTGGCATTTGGGGGGCAGATGGGGTGGACGGTGATGAAGTGCTTGTGCCAAGTAGAAGGGCAGTTGCTGCTGGGATCTGGCCCCGGGCTGCTGACTGGCTGCCTTGCCACAATTTACAGTGAGACAACCAAAGGCAGCCACTAGAATGAGGGCTCCATGAGGGAAAGAGACAGTCGGCTTCCCACAGTTTACTGGGGACGTGGGCTCCTGTCTCAGAGGAGCCGCCACTGTCCACCTGAACCTCGGCTCACACCAGTGACCCAGAGGCTGTAAAAGAAGGCTCACCAGGAGAAGTGTGCAAAGAGCATGGCGGGTGGTGTAGAGTGGGGTCCCTGAACCCACTCATCGTGATCGCCTAACAGAGTCATTGTGTCTAAAGGAATCACCCCAACGCGATCACCATGTCTAACGAAATCACCGTGTCTAAATGGAATAACCCTATCTAATGGGATCACCTTGCCTAATGGAATTGCCCTGTCTAATGGAATCATCATGTCTACTGGAATCATCGTGTCTAATGGAATCATCATGTCTACTGGAATCACTGTGTCTAATGGAATCACCATGTCTACTGGAATCATTGTGTCTAATGGAATCATTGTCTCTAATGGAATCACCATGTCTAATGGAATCATTGTGTCTAATGGAATCATTGTGTCTAATGGAATCACCATGTCTACTGGAATCATTGTGTCTAATGGAATCACCATGTCTACTGGAATCATTGTGTCTAATGGAATCATCATGTCTAATGGAATCATTGTGTCTAATGGAATCATCATATCTACTGGAATCATTGTGTCTAATGGAATCACCATGTCTAATGGAATCATTGTGTCTAATGGAATCATCATGTCTAATGGAATCATTGTGTCTAATGGAATCATCATATCTACTGGAATCATTGTGTCTAATGGAATCACCATGTCTACTAGAATCATTGTGTCTAATGGAATCACCATGTCTAATGGAATCATTGTGTCTAATGGAATCTCCATGTCTAATGGAATCACCGTGTCTAATGGAATCACCATGTCTAATGGAATCATCGTGTCTAATGGAATCATTGTGTCTAATGGAATCATTGTGTCTAATGGAATCATCATATCTACTGGAATCATTGTGTCTAATGGAATCACCATGTCTACTGGAATCATTGTGTCTAATGGAATCATCATGTCTAATGGAATCATTGTGTCTAATGGAATCATCATATCTACTGGAATCATTGTGTCTAATGGAATCACCATGTCTACTGGAATCATTGTGTCTAATGGAATCATCATGTCTAATGGAATCATTGTGTCTAATGGAATCATCATATCTACTGGAATCATTGTGTCTAATGGAATCACCATGTCTACTGGAATCATTGTGTCTAATGGAATCATCATGCCTAATGGAATCATTGTGTCTAATGGAATCATCATGTCTAATGGAATCACCATGTCTAATGGAATCATCATATCTACTGGAATCATTGTGTCTAATGGAATCATTGTGTCTACTGGAATCATTGTGTCTAATGGAATCGCCATGTCTAATGGAATCACCGTGTCTAATGGAATCATTGTGTCTAATGGAATCACCGTGTCTAAATGGAATAACCCTATCTAATGGGATCACCTTGCCTAATGGAATTGCCCTGTCTAATGGAATCATCATGTCTAATGGAATCACCATGTCTAGTGGAATCATTGTGTCTAATGGAATCATCATATCTACTGGAATCATTGTGTCTAATGAAATCATTGTGTCTAACGGAATCACCATGTCTAATGGAATCGCCGTGTCTAACAGAATCGCCGTGTCTAACGGAATCGCCGTGTCTAACGGAATCGCCGTGTCTAACGGAATCGCCGTGTCTAATGGAACCGCCATGTCTACTGGAATCATTGTGTCTAACGGAATCACCATGTCTAATGGAATCATTGTGTCTAATGGAATCACCGTGTCTAATGGAATCATTGTGTCTAATGGAATCGCTATGTCTAATGGAATCGCCGTGTCTAATGGAATCACAGTGTCTAACGGAACTGCCCTGTCCAATAAGGCTGGGGAAGAGTGACTGCAATGCCCAGGGAGGGGCAACTGGAGAACAGGTGGGAAAATCAGACAGTAGGGTCTGATTCAGTCAGCATGAGCAGACTCACTTGGACCCGTGCTGCGGTGTCAGAAAGCGTGCGGCCCTGCTGCCCAATCCAGAACCTGGTTCTGCTGCTTTGGGAGGTGATGGGACAGACAAATCGGTTGTGAGGGCCTGGGGGATATGTGTGCCGCCCAGCCCACAGTGCTGCCCCAGCAGCTGGGAGGAGTCAGGACGGGACAGTGACGGCACGTGCACACGTGGTGCCTGCAGTCGGCTCGCGAGCTCCGGAGCGAGGCCATTCTATAGGATGGCCCACCCCGCACATGTGGGGCTGCGGAGGCTCGGGGTTTCAGAGCCACCAGTCTGAGCCTGGCCTGGCCGAGTGAAGGGGCAACACCAGCGCCACATCCCCAGGCTGCAGGGAGGCTGACACGGTAGCTGGGGGAGACCAGGAAGCAGGGGGCGCTGCAGATCCGTAAGGACACAAACGCTTTGGTTTGGAGGCGACGTGGGGTGGGGCCTGCAGGTTCACCGACACATACCTTGTAGCCCAGTATGAGCCCGTTCTGGTCCTGCGTGGGCACCGAAGCCCATGTCAGTAGGATCTGGGTCGAGCTGACCGCCACGGCCGACACGTTGTCAGGAGCCGCCGAGGGAACTGCGAGGAACGAGTTAAACAGGTTGGCAGCCACAGTCTGAAGGCTTCCGCAAATAAAGGCGCAATTTTTACCCCAATAATCCAGTTGTCCTTGAAACAGCAATGTATTCTGAGCATTTTGTAGAGATCAGATGAAACCTCCAGGGGCAGAACAGAAATGTAAATCTCTTTAATATGAGCAACAAATTCCATAAATCCTGGGTATTTAGGAGCTCAGCTCTATCTGGGTCCACCCAGCAAGGAAGTACGTGTGGCCTATTTTCATATTAACTTTCGGGGACTTTTCCCTCTAATGGAAAATCCTCATTTTCAGACACCGGTTCACTGACACCTCTGAGCACGGTGCTTTGTGAGGGGGACAGGCAGGCTTGAGGGGGTGATGCTGTGATCTGCACATCACATTTAATCCCCACAACAGCCCATGAGGCAGGTGTTACACCCCGGCTCCGCGGATGGAGAAACCCAAGCCGGGGAGAATGCGTACAATCCAGGTGAATGAAATGCTTTTTCAGTGAGGTGGGCCGACGGAGGCCACGCCACGTGGTTCCTGGCTCACGTACTCGAGGCGACGTTTTTACATCACTGAACTCACTGTCTCGATTCAGTCAGACGTCAAGTAAGGACAGCAAAGTTTAGATGACCTCACTTTGCTTCTCTCGTTTTCTGCGACCCATTTGAACTTGAACGTCATTCAGACGGGGACAGGTGGGCCTGGAGGCCCCAGCACCCTTGGGCTGCCCTTCCCTTCACACGCTCGAAGCACAGAAAGGGCAGCCCTCAGCTGCCGCCCGGAGGGCACACCGCCCTTCGTGATCAGGAAGGAGGGGAGAGACGCCACGTTCACTGCCTGAGTCTATAAGCACCCGGACGCGGGCACCTTCTCACCCAGCCCCAGGACAGCCTGCGGGCTGACTCAGCAGGCGATGTGACCTGCCCGCGGCGACTACTGTGCACAATGGCCACCTGAAGCCGGGAAGCTGAGGCTGGCCCAGGGAGGTGACATGCTCCCAGGCTCTGGACTAGGACCAGACCCAGCGAGTACCCTGACCTGTGTGGTCGGGGAAGCGGCCCGGCCCTCTGTGCCTCAGTTGTGCAATGGGAGAGCCCGGCCCACCATGTCTGAGCCTGGGGCCAAGCGCTCGGCTCTGCAAGGAGCAGGTCATCTATGGCTACTTGTTCTGAAGAAAGTGATGCACTGACACTATCACCTCCTTCCTCTGGGGAGGGGAGGACGGGAAATGGTGTGAAGGGTGTGGCACACGGAGCGTCTGCTCCTCCCCCTCTGCAGTCCTCCCAGGATCCTGTGAACAGTGGGCGTGGGAATGCTCACGGGGGCTTCCTCTACCCTCTGTGTACAGACTGTTTGTTCACTTACTCAGTCACCCAACCACCCACCCATCCATCCAACCACCCATCACCCCACCATCCATCCATCCATCACCCACCTATCTATCCACCCACCCACCCATCCATCCAACCACCTATCACCCCACCACCCATCCATCTACCCATCCATCACCCACCCATCCATCCACCCATCCATCCATCACCCACCCATCCATCCATCCATCCATCACCCATCCATCTATCCAACCATCCATCACCCACCCATCCATCCACCCATCCATCCATCACCCACCCATCCATCCATTCATCCATCACCCACCCATCCATCCAACCATCCATCACCCACCCATCCATCTACCCATCCATCCATCCATCACCCACCTATCTATCCACCCACCCACCCATCCATCCAACCACCTATCACCCCACCATCCATCCATCTACCCATCCATCACCCACCCATCCATCCATCCATCCATCACCCACCCATCCATCCAACCATCCATCACCCACCCATCCATCCAACCATCCATCACCCACCCATCCATCCAACCATCCATCACCCACCCATCCATCTACCCATCCATCTATCCAACCATCCATCATCCACCCATCCATCCAACCATCCATCCATCCATCCATCCATCCACCCATCCATCCATCCACCCATCCATCCATCACCCACCCATCCACCCATCACCCACCCACATGTATTCATTCCCAAGTACTTCCTTCTTATAGCACAGTGATGGCGGAAGTGTTCTGACAGCCCGTTAGTCAGAACACAGAAAATAATATGGGTTTGCCCAGGAATGCTGCTTCCCACATTTCAGCCCTGGATCTTCTACACCGAAGTAATTTGGTCTTTGTTACGGGTTGAAGTGTCCCCCCAGAATGTGTATGTTGGATTCCTATCCCTCCTCCCCAAGCCTCCGGATGGGACCTTCTCTGACAATAAGGCTGTGGCCAATGCAATCCCTGAAATGGCTCTCGCTGTAGGCAGCAGGCCTGGCCCAGGATGACTAGGCTCCTTGTAAGAACGGCAGGTGAGGGGGCACACACAGGGGAGAGCGTGCAGATGGCTCACGGTGCCACAGGGGTGACCAGAAGCGGGGCGACCCGGGCAGCTCCTCCCTGGCTCTGCTAACACCTTCGTCTCCGACTCCTGGCCCCCAGACCTGGGACAGACTTTCTGTGTTAAGCCACCCCGCTGGGGCACTTGGCTCACACGGCTCTCGGAAACGCGAGTCGGTGAGGAAGAGGCAGGCCCTGCCGGTGCCGAGAGCTGTGAGGCTCTGCGGCAGGTGTGACCAGGTCGCTGCCATGCCGGCAGGTTCTGCAGGTGGAGGCCGAGGGAGACAAGAGGGCAGGCCCAGCACGGGTCACAGCATAAGAGGACACGCTGCTCGAGGACACTGAGCCTGGGGTGGGGCATCTTCAGCCAGAGGGGGAGGCCCGGAGGGCATCCTGGGAAGCAGCCTGTCTGGTCTGCACCTACACGTGCAGTGCTGGGTCGTGTGGCGGCCGCAGGGGCCAGCGACCGCCAGACTGTCCCATTTCCCGCCCTGCTTCTGTATGCACTAGCTGACCATCTGCAGAGCCCCGGCCTCCGGCTGCCTGCCAGGGGCGGTTGGGGCTGAGTCCACAGAACGAAGAGGCCCTGCTCCTGCCTGCAGCCCAGGAGCACTGGCCCCTGCGGTCTGGAGAGAGCTGTGCTGGCCCGCCTGCCCCGGAAGACGCACTGTCCTTCCCAAACACGCCACTGGAGGGTCACGCATCCGGTCACTCAGCCACGCAACAAAATAATATTAATCTGATGGAGCACTTCAGTGTCACAGGAGAAGAATATTCACAACGTCAGGTTTGCTCAGCTCTCTAAGGGGGAGGCTTCTGGCCACCCTGCATCCCAGAGCCGCCCACGGTGGCCCCCAGTGCCCTGGCCGCTCTCTGCGCCTGTCTTCACTCCACCACGGTGGTCCCACCACACCGCTCACACAAGCCTACTTCACGAACAGCGATGACCACTGGCGTCCTGCGTCGACTGTGGATGACAGGGTTGCTGTCATTGAGAGAAAAGGTGAGCGGACGATCAAGCCAACTTAATTTCCAGCTCCAGGATGAGGTGACCAGCCCTACACGTGCCCAGGACAGGAGAGCTACATTCCGAGAACTGTTGGTCCCAGACGAGAACACCTGGGACCCAAACTGTCCTCCCAGCCAGCCAGACGCATTGGATCAACATTCCCAACTGAACGAACATTCAGTCAACAGTACGAATAACGCGGCAGGTGTGGCTCAGTGGACTGAGCTCCTCCCAGGGACTGAGAGGTCCTGGTTCGATTCCCCAGCAGGGCACATGCCCTGATTGCAGGCTCGATCCTCAGGAGAGGGCGTGCAGGAGGCAGCCGATTGATGTTTCTCTCCCACCAGTTTTTCTATCTCTCGGCTCTCTCAAAAAAGTCAATAAAAATGGATGTAAAAAATTAATTAAAAAAATAACTGTGGTCATGACTGTCCAGAGGAGGAGGAGGGAAACTCTGTGCCTAGGTGTGCAGGCTGGGTTGTGTGCTGGCTGCATGGCCCGGGACTGCCACGGCAGCCCACGGGGTCCCACAGGGTCCCACGGTGGCCCACGGGGTCCCACGGTGGCCCACGGAGTCCCATGGCAGCCCATGGGGTCTCATGGTGGCCCACGGCATTCCACAGGGTCCCATGGCGGCCCACAGAATCTCATGGTGTCCCACGGCGTCCCACGGGGTCCCATGGCATTTTACGGGGTCCCACGGCGTCCCACAGTGGCCCACGGGGTCCCACGGCGGCAGCACCGTTCTGCCTCCCTGCCAGCAATGTGGAGGGTCCCGTTTCTCCACACTGTCCCCAGCACTTGCTGCTGTCCACCATGTTTCACATTTCATTTCAGCCGCTGCAGGTCTCAGCTCCCCAGTGGCTGATGGCGCTGAGCACCCCCGTGAGCTTGTCGCCATGAGTGTGTGCTTTGAAGAAAGCCCTCCTCAGATCCGCCGTCCAGGTTTCAATGGGGCTGTGTTTTTACGCAGAAGCTGTAAGAGTTTTTATAAATATATACTCTGGATACCAGTCCCTCACAACAGATATGACTGGCGAACATTTTCTATCATTTTGAGGATTACTTCTCAGAACGTTCTTCACGGCACCCTGTGAGGCAGAAACATGTTCATCTTGACGACTCCAGCTGTCTCTGTTTCTCTTGCTGCTCGTGCCTTGGTGCCCAGGCCCAAGCTCCACATCCCCGTCTCCTCCGGGGGTTTCTGGACCGTTCACTTCGTGTGCGTCGGGAGGGCGGGCACAGGACTCCGTGTGCGGGGGGACACTGAAGGTTTCCCCGGGCAGGTCCTGGGAGTGTCCCGTTCAGAGAGGGTACAGCCTTCAAGAGCTTTGTCTTTCTGTGGGGTCCTGGCTTCAACAGACTCACGTAGACTCCAGGTTGAATGTCCCGTTCCCGGTGGGCATCTGATCCGAGTCCTAAAACCACCAGGAGGCCCCAGCCCACGCCCACCCCATCCACACACCTCGTCTGCCCCCCCCCACTCCCACTGTCTGCTCCTCCCTTGATGTCTGACATCGGTGGAGTCTTCTGTATTTCTTATGAGCACAACTATACAATTCAAATTTCAAAAATTATGTTTTATCCCTAATTTTCTAGTAAGTTTTTAATAACCGTTTTATTGATCTATTACTGAGGTTAGACCTGTCCCTCAGAACTATTCGAGGTCTCTCCTTCGTCACAGAGATTCAGGTTGGGACGATAGCGGAGCTTTGAAGTCCAGGTGGTCACGCGGCCACCGGCTGGGCACTAGCACCTCTCCATCCTTTACTTCTAACGCAATCAACCCGCAGCCTGGAGGGAGGCCGGACAAGAAGTGGAGGCAGCCCTGGCGGCTCAGGAAGCCCTCACTGGACGCTGCTCCTTCTGGAAGCCAGAGGCTCTTGTTAACCGACCGTCCGTCCGTCTGTCCAGGACCCCACGCCCACCAACAGCCTTCCTCATCCGACAGCGGCTCTGCTCCCCGGCTGCTGTTCGAGTTCTCCCCTCTGTCCCGCACCCCCACCCAGAGAAGTCCGGGAAGAAACCAGTCACACGCCAGCCCTACAGCCTTTGCTTCTGGGTGAGACACCAGCCTGGAGCAGGTGACTGAAAGCAGACAATGCCAAGGTCGACCTGTCCCAGAACCTACAGTGTCCCTGACACGGCCAGGCGGGCTCACACCTACTGGGTCTCATGGGCGGGGACCGGGGAACAAGCCAGAGAGGGCGGGAGGAGAAGGCTTCAGCTTCCACGGACCGGCGGGTTCGCGCTGAGCCGCAGCCAGAGCTGGTGAGACCGTCTCAGCACACACGCTGCGGTGTTGGAGGGCCCGGAACCTTGCACTGTAAGGGACCCTTAGAATCTCCACAGTCTTGCCTTTCATCACCGATGGTGAACGTTATCCTTAACTAAAGTAATAGTAACAGGAGCCCGGCCTGTGCGGAACCGTCAGGGCTTCCTGGGAGGGGCGCCGGCTCTAATGGTTTCACTTAGGTTACCCCGCAGGTTGGCTGATTCCTGGTGAGGACCACGCCCACCGGACACAGGAGGGCGGAGCCAGCGAGGAGCCAGTGAGCCAGGGGCTGAGCTCCCTCTCGGGGACACGCGCTTCCGGGCCGCAGGGTCCCGTCTCACCTGACTCCCGCGTGCGCCCGCGGACCACCTCGCTCCAGGGCCCGGCCCCGATGGCGTTGAAGGCCTGAATCTGCACCTCGTACTCCGTCCACTCCTCCAGCTCCTCGATGGTGAGCTCCCGCTCCAGCCGGTCGCTGACCACGTGTGCCAGGGCAGAGGACGGCAGGTCCGGGCGCCAGTACTTGACCCGGTAGCCCACGGACTCGGGGTTCCCGTTGTACTGGGAGTCGGGCAGGGGCTGGGGGGGACAGCGTGTGAGCTGACATCTCAGGGCTTGTCCCTGCCGAGGTCTCCGAGTGGGGGCCTGTCTTAGAGGCGAATCCCATGAACAGTATTTTCTGGGGGTGATAGTCTTAGAAACTGCATTTTCCCTGGGACTTTTCTTCTGCTCGTTAAACGGAATCCTGTCAGTCAATCTGGCTGGTCCTAATTTCTTTGAATACCTTCTGGCTTAATTTTGTGGGGAGATGTTCTGATGAAATGTCACGCTGGCCCTCTTACGAATACCGAGTTCCACATTGACCCAGATCGAGGACAGGCCCCGCCCACGGCGCCTGGGCCTCCTTCCCCAAAGACCGCTCCTCGGCTCCCAGAAGCCCGGGGGAACGCTACAGGTAACAAGCACCCCTGGCGGGTCTGAGCCCAAAGCCTGCTGAAAAGTGAATACTTTTGCCTCAATGACGGGATGAGCCTTGACTGGGACAAAGGAGGGCTGAGCAATGGCCAAGCTCTGGGTTCACGTGTGCCCCTGGGAACTCCAGACCACCGCCCTGCACCGCCCCCCCCCCCCCCCCACTGCCTCCCAACTCACCACCCAGCGCAGCCGCAGGCTGGTCTCGCTGGCCGTCCGGACGGTGACGCTGGCCGGAGCGGCGTCGGGGGGCGCCTGCAGCGTCTGGATGACCCGAGAGGACTGACTGAAGGGGCTGGCCCCGACCACGTTCACCTGCCTCATCCGGAACCTGGAGGCAGACCAGGGAGAGTGTCACTGCAGCAGCAGGACAGCGGGAGACAGAGAGACGAAGGAAAGCAACCCCCACGGCCACTGCCCCTGGGCACTGGGGGCTCAGGCCCGGGTCTACCTGGGTCCTAGAGGCCGATACGCTCAAGGGGGCCCTCTTTCCACCTGGTTTCATTAAAAATGCAAATTATATATATGGCCCTTTTCCCTAAAAGACCTCAAAGAATGTCAACCTGCCAATCAGCATGTCAAATCCCCAAGGGGAGCGTAACTGGGCACGTGCCGCAGCCAGAGGTCTGTGCCGCCAGCGGCAATGGGCTGGTTCCAGGTGTGTCCTACGGGGGTCAGAGTTCAAATAGCTATTTTGCAGAACCGGGGCCTCGGACAGCCACACCAAATGACAGCTCTGAAAGCCCATGTCTTCCTGAGGCCCCAGGGCACCTGTGCCTGTTCCCCGTGAGCCGGGGGGAGGAGCAGCGGCCCCGAATCCACACCGCGGGATTTGGACCCGGCCGATCAGACTGGTCTGTTTCCCGGTCTGTGAACTGAGGGGAGTCGGTGCCGCGTTCCAGCTGTCTCTTCGCAGTGACATCGACTGGTGCTTGAGCTCAGCTCACACGCAGGTGCGGCGTCCGAAGCGCACACACGCGTTGGTTCCAGAGCTTCCTGAACTCACGCGCAGCTGGGACAGGGACCCGGTCTCTGCCGCAGCTTCTGACCGTGGAGATAATTACACAGCCCACCAATTGCACGTGGCGAGTCTCGGCTCCCAACAATATCTTCTGTAAAAAGGGGCGCCTGCTATCTGGCTTCGTCTGCTCCAATCTTAGGAAAGGTGTTCAAGGGGGTAGAAGCTAGACCTTCTCTCCCGTTGGTTTTTTTGTTTAGAGCCTCGCTCTGGCCTTGGACTGAAAAGTGTTCTTCACAACGACGTCGCCTCACCCCCTGCTCTGCGACCTGTCCTCCGTGGTCGCCCTGCCCTGCCCTGCCCTGGCCGGACATTGTCAAGCTGCTCGTGCGGTGATGAGGGGGAACGGCACCTTCCGTCTCTTACGGGAGTTACAGCCTCACTGACTGCTGGCGATCACACTCCCCTTCACCAAGGCTAAGGAGTTGCCGCCCGATGTGTTTCAGGGTCAAGGAGCAGGACGCGAGATGGCACCTAAGTGGCTGGTGAGCCGCAGCTCCTGGGCCCGGAAGGGGTGTCCCGGGACACCTGCTTTGTGGACACAGGGTGTGCAGTTCCGTAAAGAGAAGTGCACACATCTGACCGCACAGCAGTGAGCTGTCTCAACGGGCGTCTGCCAGCCGGTGTGGGCGGACGGGCCCTGCTGGCCTTGCACCGGGGACAGACCTCCCCTGGAACAGGGCTCGGCCATGCACCTTGCTCTACAGGTGCAACCTCCGTTCTCGCCCCCGGGAGACAGCGCACTCCCAGGCATGTGACTAGGTTTTGCTATTGCCGACAGCCACCTGCCGAGTGCCCCTGCTCTCACCTGTAGTGAGTGTAGGGCGTGAGGTTTGGGATCTCCAGCGTCTGCGCGTCGGGCTCATTGTCCTCCTCGTACAGGCTGACCCACTCCTCCTCGTCGCCGATGGCTCCCACCTGTGGAAAGGGAGCCGCAGGGCGGGGCTGTGGTGTGTGGGGCTAGGCAGGCCCCAGGGGCCCCCGCACGTGGGGGTAAGTCCTGCACACACGCCTCCCCCTTGTGCCTTGGAGATCTGGGGCTCCTGCCGTTCCCTCCACGTCAGGCCCTGAGAGTGAGGCCTCTGGGGATGACCTTCTGGGGGCTGGAAGGGACCGCACGCCGTCCTGCCCCTCCTCCCGATGGACAGTGAGGACTGAGAGTGGCTCGGAGAGAGGACTGGCCGGGACCCCACGCGACCCCGAGTGGCCGTGTGTCCTCACTTAGGGTGCAGAGCCATTTCCAGCACACGCTGACCAGGGGCTCGTCTGTCCTGCTCACACTAGACCTTTCTGCCCCGAACACACCCCAAAGACACCGTGTGGCTGCCCTCGAAGCCCACCTGCAGGCCCAGGCCCTCCGGACGCGAGAGCCGCCTCTGGGCGGAGCTGACCTCTTCAGACACAGTCCACCCACACGCCCCCTGGGGTGCCCTGCGAGCCCCCAGCTGCTACCTCACCAGGGTCTCCGGAGCCGGCTTCGGTGGCTCTGACCCTCTTAGGGGCCCTGCTCTGAGCCTGAGCCGCAGCTCTCATGACGGCCCGAGGCAGCTTCTAGTCCCGTCCACGCCGATCCGGCCATGAACCTCGTCTGGCCCTGCAGGAGCCATGTGCCGCTCCCAGCAGGAGAGCAACAGGGTCCGCCCGCGGCCCCAGGCCAGCCAGGGGCCCCCAGAGTTCCAGGGGTCTGCACCCCTGCCCCAGGCACACTCTAGGGCCTGTGCAGGTTGTGGGGACACAGGGGACACACGCAGAGGGAAGGCTGTGAGCTGGAGCGTCAGGCCAGATGAGTGCAGGGCCTGGGCCTGACCCACAGCAGACTGAAATGACCCACAGGAGGTGTGCTTGCTTGGCCCCCGAGGAAGCAGGCTGGCAGCGGCTGGGTCGTCCTGGGACGGCCTGAGGATGCAAACGACCTTGGGTTCCTGGAGGGACGGCGGGGAGGCGGGGTCAGCGGACACAGGGAGGCCGGTGCTTCCTCAGGAGGCTGAGCGCAGATGCCCACCTCCTCGCACTCTGAGCTGAGACGCGGACACTCCCCAAAGGCGAGCACAGAATCTGCCCCCTGTGCGCCCCACAGAACGGAAAGCCGGTTCTCCCACACGCTCACGCGGCCCAGGGCGGAGACAGCGGGCGTCACCAAGGGATGCTGGTGAACACGGAGGCCCACCCACACAGCCAGTGTTACTCGGCCACGAGAGGAATTGGGGTGCTGATACACGCCACAGTGTCTGAACCTCAGAAACACGCGAAAGACCAGGCCCCAGAGCCATCTGAAGGATGATCCAGTCACATCAAATACACAGAACAGGTAAACCCACAGAGACAGAATGCAGATGGCCGGGGGCGGGGGTGCCTGCTTCTGGGGATCCCTCTGGGCGTGAGGAGCTGGCGGCTCCCCAGCAGGACGGTGCCCGCCATTCCTGGGAAGAGCGGTGCCCGCCCTGCGGTCTCTGAGCAGGGCGGTCTCTCCTGGAGCCCCAGCGTCATGTGCCACCACCCCTCAGACGGCCCCACCTGCCCCCAGGGGTGCCTGCGGCTGACGGTGCGGATGGGTGGGGGCAGCCACGCTCCCCTGCTTCCCACCCATGCTCTGTCTCTTCCGCTAACGGCCTGATTTGAATGGGTCCAATCCCTGGCGAGCCCAGGAGGGCACACGGGGCTCCATTTGGCTCTGCCTGCCCCTTCTCCCTGCCACCACAGCTGGGCATCGCAGCCTCAAACACCTGCCGCAGTCTCCCTCTTCTCGCTCCAATGCGCCTCCCCCTTTCTGCTCTTCTAAGCAGCAGGCCAACGCCTTCAGAATCTGGAGCATCTAGGCCTTGGGACACCCCGGGGACGACAGCCCCTTGCCCCCCTGCTCCCCCCAGGCTCCAGAATGATGCCCTGGCCATTGTCTCAGAGCATCGTTCCCGTCCCCCCACGGTGCTGACCGCCACAGAGCACACCCTGAAACGTGCCGTGGGCCACACGCTGGGTGCAGAGCCGTGTTCCCCTCACTAACGCGGGCCCAGCGGGGAGGGCGGCCTGGTTCAGAGGAGGGAGCCGGAGTCGAAGGACTCAGAGTGGATGAGAAGAAGCGCGGTGAGACCCCAGGGTCGCCCCGACCTCCAGAGTGGCAGCTCCATCTTCCACAAGGTGGCCCCTCGCGGTCCAGCGTCTGGGCCGAAGGGTAAAGCTACGACCTTAGGGGGTGAGCCTCAGGCAGGCCCATAAACAGTTCCGGTCCTGGAGTCAGCCAACTGCACCGCGGGTTGAACACAGCTGCTCCTGCTCGTGTGCATAAAATTTTACTGGGACAGGACGTGCTCCGTGGGTTGCCAGGGGCCAGGTCCATGCCCCACAGCAGGGCCTTGCTGGGGCGGCAGAGACCATCGGCCCACAGGCTGGAGGATCTATGGACACGTCTGCCCACGCACTCGAGGCTCCGGCCCAGTGGACACAGCTCCTCTGCCGCGTTTCCGGGTCTCGCCACGCTGGTTATCGCTTTTGTCCCGAGGGTGCCCCCCAGGCGGGGCCAGGGTCTTACTCCTCCCTCTACCCCGGCAGCTTCCCCAGGGTCCAGCCCAAACTTGGGACCCAACCTGTTAATTGAACACATGAACTAACACACTAACGAACAGCGTGTGGCTTCAAAATCAGCACTGAAGTGAGTTGTATCGCCCTGAACCTCAAAAGCAGATTATTCCAGGAAACATCATTTCACTCACTGACCTCCAGGGAAAACCTTACATTCCTACCACAGGCTCACACTCTGATCTGAAGAGACCGACACTGTCTAGCAAAGAGCATAAGTCCTTTCGTCCTTGCTGGGTCCTCCGGCTCCAGGGAGATTTCGAGACCACTGTGACAGAGTTCTAGGACAACCGCTATTTGCCGGTGGTGCCCTGGACGCCGACGACGCAGAACTCTCAAAGATAAAACAAATCAGCCTTGGCTGGTGTGGCTCAGTAGTTGGAGCATCGGCTTGAAGACCAAAGGGTTTTGGGCTCGACTCCAGGTCAAGGGCACCTACCTGGGTTGCAGGTTCGATCCCCGGCCCCAGCTGGGGTTGTGTGGTTGGAGCCAACCAATCGATGTGTCTCTCTCACATCTATGTTTCTCTCCCCCTCCCTCCCTTCCACTTTATCTAAAAAAAATCAATAGAAAAATAACCTTGGGTGAGGATTAAAAGAAAAAAGATAAAACAAATCAGAGCTCCCGGGGAAGCTGGGTTCTGGTGGCTTTTCCTTTTGCTTCTAAAGCAAACAAACAGCATCTGACAATGCTTATTACACAAGCAGAATCGCCACACACTTCTGCTACTCCGCCGCCGTTCGGGCCCGGGGGCGCCTGCCGTCTGGACTCACCGGGAGATGCCGCCTGCCCGCCCTCCTCCCCTCAGCACATGTTCACTCACCGGCTGCCCGGGACCCAGACCCACCACCCGTGCCAAGCCAGACCTTGGTGTCTGCGGTGGAAGGCCTCTGTGGTCGGCGGGGAACCAGAGGGCAGGGAGGACCTCCTGTGCTCTGCCTGAGGCCCCGAGCTCAGCACCAGAGGCCAGGAGCTCAGCGGCTCCTCAGTGAGCCACCATTCGCCTCCCCAGCAAGTAACTGCAGACAGACGCCGGGGAGCTGCAGATGGGATGGGAGGCCCGTGGGAACAGCGTCCCTTCACCAGAGCGAGGGGGGTGGCACGAGGTGCCCGGAGACCCTCCCTGGAGGCCGGCCCAGGCCCTGCGCCCTCTGGGCTGAAACTCCGCTGTCAGCAGGAAAACCTTCATGTCAAGCCCTTGCAGAGTCGCCTCGTGCTCTGAGGGGTCTGGCCGAGCCCGCGAGGCCTCCAGAGGCAGCCGCAGGGCTGGAGGAAGGGGACAGACGGGCGTCATGGCACAGCCAGGCTGGGGTCTCGGGTGGCCTGTGGCGGGACACCACCCCCCGGGCGGACAGACGTCACTGCGGAGGGAGAGAAAGGGGCCAAGCAGATCCGGCAGAGACTCCGTTTTGGGGCCCTCGCCATGCCCTGGGGTCCACGTTGGGTCCCTGGCCCAGCCAGTCAGCTTCCACTCGAGCACAGGGGAGGCCAAAGGCTCCCTGCTGTGCTTCCGGTCTCCCTCCCTGTCACCCTGCAGTGCAGCCTGGTGCACCCCGAGTGCAGGCCTCAGCGTCTGGGCCTCCGCTCCTGCCGTAGGGGAGGGAGGAGGCAGGATGCGCTGGAAGGGCCTCTGAATGGAGCAGCAGGAGGCTTCCTGGCTGAGCCCAGCTCCCGGTGCACAGAGCCGCCCCGCCTCGGCCCCGCCCTCCGTCTGATGGCCCCATGCTCCCTATTCACCGCTCCCTGCACGAGGCCCCGAAATACTCCGCTCATCTTATCGTCAGTTGTCCCCCTCCCATGGGGAAGCTTCTCCTGAAGGCCACCTGCGGGCCCGTGACTGCCCCTGCGCTGGGGGCCCCAGTGTCTGCATTTGACGCCCTGACATCTGGGCCCTGCTGACCTGCAGGGACGGACCGCCCAGGGTCAGCCGAGTCTAGAGACAGACCCACTGTCCCTGGGGCACACCGTTCAGATGCAGCCCCCGCCCAGCCCTGCTCTGTGGGCTCACGCTGTCCACTGTCCACCTGCCCTCGTCACCCAGGGCCAGGAACCAGCCACACAGCCAGTCCGACGCCTGCTCACCCGGCCTCGCCGGCTCCTTCCCACGGAAACCACAGCGAAGGGGCTCGCCCGCGGTTCACGGTCCCCCGCCTCTGCCACCAGCCCTGCCCCCGCTTCCCCGCGTGGCCCTGAGCGGTGTGGCCGCCCCTCCTCTGAGAACTGGACCAGCTGTGTTTTCAGTGAGTCCTCTCTCATCTGCTGGCCTCACCATAGCTGAATAAAAATAGAACCTACATTTAAAAAATTGTATTATTATTATTCTTAATTCTTACCCAAGGATATTT